AATTATTGCTGATCCACCAAGCCACACAAGTTTGTGTTAAAACATTGAAAGTTTGTGTTCGACCATTATTAGGAAGCAACTGGAGCTTATGCACTTTTAAAATCGAGATTGAAAACTCATTTCTTTACAACTGCTTTTTATGTGTAGCTTGTTGTCATTCCCCTCCCCCACCTCCGATTACCACGGTTGACTACGTACGGTGCGAAAAAAGTTCAACATACATTCATAATTTACCAGTCGCTCTGTATTTACCGTGTGCAACTAGCATTGAGCCTATGACATCAACCTCTCGGAATGCACCCGCCGACCTCATGAGATCTTGGAAGCCTGGATAATGCCCAGATGGGCGACCACTCTGCACGTCCGGTTGTTACAGCTTGCTGCGGGCCCACGGCATGAGCAGCAGGGCATAAAGAAAAGCCATCGTTGTACTGTACCTACACGCTCCAACGTAATTATACTCAACTAAACATTTTTTTTATTTTGGCAGGTAAGGCCCACTGAGCGATACAACTCTTTTTTCAGAAGTGACCTGGCCACGGATGATCGCTGAACGAAGTGGCTTGTTGTCCTTCCCCCCCCCCCGCCACTGATTGGCACGGTTGGTTACGTACGGTGCGAAAAAAGTTCAACGTACATTCATTGCTGCGGGGAGAAATAATAATTTCACGTTCCATAAGGCCGTGTAGCTGATGGGATGTGTAATTTTTTTTTTCTGATGTGAAGAGACAAATACGGACAAGGAGGTGTTCTTGTCTGTTTGTTTTGCTCAGAAACGGTGAGATTCGTCTGTCTAGTATACTTAGAAATGTAACGTAATACAACAGAGAGTCGGATAACATAACAGTCAACACCCTACCTGGTTGATTACGTTTTTCCTGAGAATGCTAAATTTGAACGTAATCAACCAGGTAGGGTGTTGACTGTTATGTTATCCGACTCTCTGTTGTATTACATTACATTACTAAGTATACTAGATTGGTGTTTCTATTTCATTTATACCTGATGATGATTGCTTGTGTTGCAATCGAAACGTCGTATGCTAGTATTTAATTTATTATTTTATCTTTATACGTGACTTTACCGAAAGAACCAAAGAGTAATTACTGCAGTCACGAAAGCTCCAAATTAAGTTTGAGATTCGTCTGGTCAAATGAACCTCATGGCAGGGCCCTGAGGTCCCATAAGCCCCCGGCTCTCGCATAAACTGCGTTGCGACGTCCTTTTACGTCTGTTGAAGGCGAACGACACGGCAATCTATTCCTCTCGACGAGCTCTACACGATGCGCTAATCAAAGTTTAAAAGTTTTGTTTCTTCTGCGAATTCGTCCTCGCTGCTGCTGCGCTTGGACACGACACGACAAGAAAACGATCCGCGGCGTTTATGTGCGCGGTGGGACGGAGTCGCCAAAAATAGATGAATTAATTACCATTTTGACCTTCGTTTATTCGGGACCCCGCGGTCCCACCATAAGGGGCATTAATGATGGACAAATCCTCGCGATGGAATGGCATCCCAGCAGTGGGTACCCAGTAAACACCTCAACGTTGACTCAACGTTGGCGTGCGGTGGGAACCGTTGGGCTAACGTCGGTCCGACGTTGGCATGTTTACTGGGTAGATCGTGATTGACGATTTTAACAATTGTTATTTCATTGAAGTTTTCGTGCTTTTGCACGCCCCGGTAATCATGCCAACGTTTTACCAACGTGCCATGTTCACCGGTGTAACTGCGAGCGAAGCATCGTCAACGTTATGCTCGGTTGAACATGCTGCTATCTATACTCTTAGGTTTTTTCGGTAAAGTCACGTAGGTAAAAAAATAAAATACAAAATTACTAAAAGTAATAATAGAAATAAAATAAAATAATAAACACAAGTCTCCGTCATCAGGTGGGACCGTCACAGCTAGATTTGCTGTATCAAGTGAGGCAACGATTCCAAGATACAAGTTCTTAAATACAAGTTAAGGGGGGAGGAGAGAGGGAGGGGCTTATCTGAATGTGGTAGCCAATGAATGGACCGTATTGGGAGGGGGGGCGGGGCTACAAGAGAGTGCATGTGGAGCTGTTGGTGCGCCTGTTGGTGCACATGCTAGAAGAGAACAAAAATGCCCATGTTGTTTTACCCAATGTTGGTTGACAATCAAATACAAAAAAGAGAGTACTGTTAAACGCTGGGGATGTTAACACTCGGTAAAGTAAAATAGTGCCTGTCAAATTAGATGCTGCTATCCCGCGATACGGCGATTCAACGATTTATTATCGTAAACTAAACTACTTATTTAAGACGTGTTTTTATTCACCAGGCCAGGCCCCACTGAGCTCTACACAGCTCTTTTACAGAAGCGATCACAAATGATCGAGCGACGAAAGTGACTTATCGTCGTGTGGAAATGAACAGCGATGATGTTGATTCTAAATGTGCAGGGAAAACCCGGAGGACCGGGAGAAAGAATCCACGCAACCACGGGAGAGAGAGAGACACGCAAACTCCAAATATACAGCATGCGTCAGTGGCTGGGATCCAACCCACGACTTCCTGTAGACCAGGCGAGGTAGTTAACATCTCCTAGCCACCGTGATGATGATGAGAGAGACACGCAAACTCCAAATATTCAGCAGGCGTCAGTGGCTGGGATCGAACCCACGACTTCCTGTATACCAGGCGAGGTAGTTAACATCTCCTTGCCACCGTGATGATGGTGAGAGAGACACGCAAACTCCAAATATTCAGCAGGCGTCAGTGGCTGTGATCAAACCCACGACTTCCTGTAGCCAGTCGAGCTGGTTAACATCTCCTAGCCACCGTGATGGTGAGAAAGACACGCAAACTCCAAATATACAGCAGCAGGCGTCAGTGGCTGGGATCGAACCCACGACCTCCTGTAGACCAGGCGAGGGAGTCAACGTCTCATCGTTGCATCGTGATTATCCTCAGTAATTTGACCCTTTAAAAAAATGTTCCGAACAAAATACTTGTAAAGTTCCTAAGATAATAAAGCTGAATCATTAAAGTTGTTGTGTACAGGGTACATGCAGTACACGCCTTAACATATTTACACATTACACCGGCGTTATGCAAGCGTTTTCTGGGGTACAGTAATTAATAATCGGCATTTCTACTAATTAATGTTAGGGGCCGTCCATAAATGACGTCACGCGATTTTGGACGGTTTTTGACCCCCCCCTCGTCACACGGCGTCACAAAGAGTCAGACCCCCCCTCATATATGACGTCACAAAGCTCTGCCCCCCCCCCAAATAAAACATGCTTCAAATCGCTTTAAACTATTATCATTGTAGTGCGTATTTAATGTGCCGCTGCACCCTGATGTTGTAGGAGAAAACATGTATTAAAAAGTCTATTTAATTAAGTAGAACGTGTTGTCTATATTTATTTAAAGTTGCGCATTTGGATGTGACGTCACATTTCTCAACCCCCCCCCCCATCGTCACAAATGTCTGACCCCCCCTCCCCTAGGTGTGTGACGTCATTTATGGACGGCCCCTTAAGCGTTTTAATCGAGTTGGTGTTAAATGACAAGCAATGCGGTTATTCTGCACGAGTATATTATTTATTCGTAGTTCTAAATGTGTACGGCACAAGACTCAACGCAGGCTTTATGTTGACGGAACTCTTAGGTTGCCGAGCTCAAATGATCGATGTGAAATACAATTGCAACGTTATGGGAGTGTGAATATCATTATCCCCACAATTGCAACATCGCGATAATCGTCACATCGCGATAATCGTCACATCGCGATAATCGTCATATCGCGATAATCGTCATTCTATTCTTAGGTGTTTTCGGTAAAGTCACGTAGGTAAAAATTAATAAAATAAAAATCACGAAACGTCGTGATTTTTATTTTATGAAACGTCGTGATTTTTATTTTATTTTACTTTTATTAATTTTAATGTTTTACCTACGTGACTTTACCGAAAACACCTAAGAATATGAATCCTTGCAGTCACGAAAGCTTCAAATCTAGAATGGGAAAATGTCAAAACTGGGTGGTTTTTAACTTTTGCCGACAAAACTGGATCCCAAATGTCAAAACTGGGTGCACCCTGGGTGGCCAAAAATTGAGTTTTGGACACTCAGGGTGCACCCAGTTTTGACATTTGTCAAACATTTGGGATCCAGTTTTGTCGGCAAAAGTAAAAAACCACCCAGTTTTGACATTTTCCCCTTCTCGACGCAAACACTATCTACCGTTGTTCTACTGTAGTAGGTGTAGCATGCAAGCTGGCACACTGTACCAGTATACAAATGGCAAGTTCGTGTATGTTCGCGAGCTGAAAGTGTTACTGTAGTTGCAAGCTGGCACACTGTGCCAGTATACATATGGCAAGTAAGTGTTACTGTAGTAGCGAGCTGGCACACTTTGCCAGTATACAAACGGCAAGTAAGCGAGCTGGCACACTGTGCCAGTATGCAAACGGGAAGTTTGTGGTGCAAGGTATGGAACATGAGCCACGAGAAACATCATTTGGAACGCTCTAAATCTGTGGCGACATATGGATGAATAACGCAAGGACCTAAACGTGTACAAAATGATACATTAAATCGTACACCTTCTTCACCCAGTTTTGACATTTGTCCACATTGAACATCACCCAGTTTTGTCATATCAAAAAGCACCACCCTGTTTTGCCTGTCGTTTTCCAAGACCACCCAGTTTTGACATTTGGGATCCAGTTTTGTCGGCAAAAGTTAAAAACCACCCAGTTTTGACATTTTCCCAATCTAGAATCGTCATTCTGTGATACTAGCAATATCGTGATACTCGCTATATCGCGATAATCGCCGTATCGCGATAACACCAGCATGGCGATAATCGTCATATCGCGATAACACCAGCATGACGTTAATCGCCATATTGCGACAACACCAACATGGCGATAATCGTCATATCGCGATATCGATATTCCGCGGCGGGAAAACGGCCACGTGACGCGCCCCGGGACGTGACGTAATTTTCCCGCCATTTGGATCTCGCGCCACCCCCCGCCGCCCGCCCGCCGCCGGGTGTTTGTGTCGCCCAGCGTCGCCGCCGCCGCATTCAACCAGAAACTCCCTCGCCACCACCACCAACACCACCACCGACATGCCCACCGCGGACGACTGGCTGCTCAACCCCCTGGGTCTCGTCGAAGGCTTGTTTGGTGAGTTCGCGGCGCTCGCCACGGGGAAGCCGAGCGCTGCTTCCAATGCGCTTGCGGTGTGTGTGTGCGGGGGGCAGGCTGGTCGATAATGACCATCTCACCCGCCACGCGTGGCGACATGGTACGGTCCACCCCGGAGCCGAGGCGCGCCGGGCGGGGTGGGGGGGGGCCTACCGGACTCTACCATGTGCTTACGGGGTGTGCGGGCGGGGGGGTAGCGGACGGCACCGTGGCGGGAAGTGTTGCGAGCCGAGAAAAGTGACCAAGACTTGTACAGGTAGAGCGATGTTAGCAGAGTTGGTGTCACGAAGCGTGTGTGTGTTAGTCCAGACTGATTTCAAGCATCGTCCAGGCGTGTAAACGAGTCGCGAAGCTTCGCACGGGACGATTCGATTACATGAGAATAGGTTTTTCCCTTTTTTTGGCAACAAACAGCTGTGTTGAGATGTTAAAACACCAAAACTGAAACCTTTTACAAGGAATCATGTCTGCGTTAACCACGATACTTGTGGTCAGAATGCAAACAAAAATCATACTCTGATTGGTCCACACCATAGGCACGCGATCTAGCCCGACCCTAATTGTTTACAACTTGACCCCAATTATGTATGAATGTTGGATTTCTTTCGCACCGTACCTAGCCCACCGTGCTAATCAGAGGTGCGGGGGGAAAGGACAACAAACTAAACACCAGAAGCGGGTCTCAAGAAGTGAGTTTTCAATCTAGATTATTTAAAAGTTCACAGCTCCGGTGGCTTCCTAATATCGGAAGGAAAGAGCGTTCCAGACGGCCACAGAAGCACATCTGCCAGCCAAAAGCTGCTGTTGCAAAGATGTTCACGCTTGACCATTAAATATTGTCACTCAACTTAAAGCATTCGGCACATTACCATTCATTGATTAAAGCACATTGATCAATACAATAATTTTAATCCTTGTGATTTGTTTTAAGATTAGAACGAGAGAAATATAAACTGAAACATCGAGAAGGAATATAATTTCACCTTGAGTTAAATCGTGACCTTGAAGTGCTATGGGTTCATCGGATTGTGGTAAATCATTAACATGCCTGCTAAATAATTATTCGTGTGCCCGAGTCTGGGTGACAGATCATGCACCCAATAGAAGTCTGAGATTGGTTCTCTTACCCATTAGACATACGAGTCGGTGTTAGGTGGGCCAAAGTTATGCAGTGGTATTCCTGTGAAACTATGAACCTTGAAATCAGCACAACTTTGATATTGTTATGTGTGATATTGACAAGGTCTGCAATATCCCCAACCTGACTACGGCTTGGGAGACCTTCAGGTACACGTTTCTCCAAATTCTTGACAAACATGCTCCGTTGGTTAGATTTAAAATTAAAGGCAACCGCCCACCATGGTTTGATCCTTTGATTTTCTAAGCTCATGAAAACTAGGGTACAAGGCTTGGGCATGTGCTCAGAAAGGTAATTTAGGTCAATGACTGGCTAGAGTACAGGATTTTAAGGAATAGATGTGTCAAAAAAATACGGCATGCATAACATTATTACTTTTCCTCCACTTTCCTGGAATCACATGGCAACGCCAGGATCTTCTGGAAAACAGTAAAATGTATCGAAAAGGCATCTAACACAGATAATCTTCCCGCTGCGCTTAACCGAAATGGGAACTTTTTCAGAGCCCCAAAAAATAGTTGACAATTTTTACCTTAATTTTTCTGAAGCTGGTGACCTTTTTGATAATGTATGGGAGTCACCCCTGCTCATGCAATTTCCTACACCCCTGTCCAAACATTAAACGAATTTAGTTTCCAGCCTATCCACGAAAGTAATGTTCTGAAACAACTGTCCTACCTCAAAGGGTCCTCCTCTACCAGAGCGGATCGTCTTCCCATCTTTGCTCTGCTAACTGCTGGTTACCTAATATACAAACCTATAGCCCATATTTTCAACCTGTCCATCAAAGAAGCATCGGTACCTCGAGAATGGAAACATTCCTATGTTCGTCCAATTCACAAAGGGGGCTCTAAAGATGATCCAAATAACTACCGACCTATCTCAATTTTGTCCCCGCCAGTCTTTTTCATTACTTGTCCAAAGCCTTTGATACAGTCGACCACAACACCCTGCTTAATAAACTAAGTTGCCTCCAGTTTCTCTAAACATGGAGTGGAATGATTAAAAAATTACCTCTCTTCTTGCACCCAAACTGTGGGGTAGTATATGGTTAGTATATGGTTAACCTGTAATTATGATTTGCTTCCCACACTGTTGATCACATCTGAACGCTGTGCAAGTTGGTCACACAGCGTTCAGATGAAATGCCATCAACAGTGGGAAGCAAATCATAATTAAAGGTTTGCGGTGTACCCCACGCAAAGCAGACTCATCATGTCCACTCCGGTATCCCCTCCCACCACGTCCTGTCACAGCAACGGCGACATTCAGCTGGGTCCCCACCTGAGCACAGAGCACTTTAAAGTAGACCATGAAGACTGAAACAGGAGGACTTCTTTATAATTCTAGCTATCGCCTGATGAAGCTGGTTGTTGTAATTGCCAGCGAAACGTCGTACTCGAATTGTAAAAGTTACGGGTTTACTCTCCAATACACCGGTGTGCTGAAGTAGTAACTAATCGGCACGCTTTTGTTTATGGTAGCAGGTTAATGACACGTATATATTTACATCATCTTACCCAAAAAAACATTTATTATGAAGTAAAACATTATCTGTGATGCTGCTGCGTTGGCAGTGGTGCACAAGTCCAAAATATTAACTAAAAGTGTCTTTCGTGTCAATAATCCTGTGGCCCTAAAATGACAAATATATAATAGGTGATGTTTTTGGAAATTGATTTTCTTCAAAGCACAGAAATAGCGAGGCCAGAGAGATAGTCGATATGAGTAGGAAGACTGCATTTTACACATCCATTGTGCAGTTGAGTGTAGTCTCCAAGTCTACCCTATGCCAGTGTTCTTTATTACAAGGCCCGCGGGCCACTGGCGGCCCCTGACATGCGGCCCCCACAATACACGAATGTGAAAACACCCCCTCCCCCATCATTGTGTTGCTTTCAAACCCCAAAGGTTTCTAATGTGTGGCAGCCTTCACACTGATGATGTCTTATCACCAAAGGTGGCCCCCCTCTGAAAATTTGTATAGAACACTGCCCTATACATTACAGTATTTCACACACATATACATGCCAGTATTTATTTTAACCACTAGATGGTGGTGATCCCACAGTTGAATGGCAACTAAAATACTTGACGGCAGAGGAGTCCAAAGTGTTGTATTGAAGGCCGGATTAGCTAACATGCTGAGCGGCAAGAGCCACGGTCATATACTATTGTGGAGAGATTAAATCTTGACTTAAAGCTTTCGTGACTGCAGGGATTCATATTCTTTGGGTCTTTCGGTAAAGTCGCGTAGATAAAAAATAATTGAAAAATCACAACGTTTCGATCGCAAAACAAGCAATCGTCTTCAGGTGAAAAAATACAGCAGGCGAACTGCTGAGGCAGGATAAATCTAGCGGGTTTTTTTCATCTGAAGACGACTGCTTGTGTTGCGATCGAAACGTCGTGATTTTTTTTATTATTTTTATATCTACGTGACTTTACCGAAAGACCCAAAGAGTGTGGAAAGATTGTTTAGAGAAGCTGAAACGAAGATATTAAGATAGGATATGTTTTCAAAAGAGAACACAAGAAAATAAATGTGTTCGTGGAATCGACCCCAATGTTCTAACCTCTGGGTCACCTCTTGACTTGATTTACTGTTGAAGTCTTCCACAGTGCACTCCCTCTCTTGGCTACCACCCATTAGTATTCTCGAGCTTGTATTTGCCTTAGAAATCACAATGTGGTATAGCAATCTGCACCAACATATTCCGTGTTTTTCCAGTATTCCTCATTATTCACAAACTTGCTATCCACGATTTTGGCTCTCTGCAAATCGCATCTGGAACTCTACACAACTGCATCGAGAGAGAAAGTGATGAGAGATAAAGTGATCGGAGAGAATGTGATGAGATTTATTACTTACGTATTTATTTAAGGTAATTCCTGAAAAATAAGAGGTTTCCGTAGGCCAATATCATTATCCGTGAATTTGCTATTCAAGCATTTCTGGAACGTATCCCTCGCGAATAACGAGGGAATACTTTATAAACATGTCCACCATCAACCACTGGAAGTCATTGCCCATTGGAGACGGAGTCTTCACGAGCGCTCTTAAAGCTAGACATCTCATTTATTTGTGTGTTTTTCCCTCTCTTTCTCTGAGGGCTTTCTGACGCACAATGAAGATGCCCTTAATATGTCTGGGAACAACATTTTTTTGCTCTGAACATGCACATTATATCATTATCAGAGCCAACTGTATTGCGGGAGCTGGAGTATGAGTTAATAATTTTGTTGCTAGAATTGCAGGGTTTGTTTTTAGTTGCATGTATCAAGACTTTAGTGCCACAATGCGTGGTTTAGTGCCTTGTTTTTTCGCACCATCACTGTGTATCTCCCATTCGGATGATATTCCCATTTCTATGTAAGTTGAGGTATAGTATACATTCTGATATTGCACCAATTTTGTCTGAAGAGTGATTTTCATTTCATAATGGAGCACATGGCCCATGAATGTGTCGGCCACAGTGAATTTTGCGCAAATTAGTGGGGGGAAATACCGTATACCAGTATTTATTTATACTGGAGGAATCCAATGAGCTATAAAGCTCTTTTCACAGATGTCCGGTAGGGGCAGGTCAGAACGTTACAACAACAAACAATACAAACGCACAACAGGAGTTTGAAATATAGGAAAGGTGAACAAATAAAACTAAACTTTGTATCTTGCCAGGGAAAGCCCACTGAGCTATTAGCTTCTTTTTCAGAAGTGGCTTCTGCACAAATGATAGCTGAACAAAGTGGCTTATCACGTGGAAATGTAGCAGCAAAATAATCTCAATAATATACACACAATACACACCCGACTATCCATATAGAACTATGGTGCAATACCTATATATTCTGTGAAGTGTAAATGGACACACGGTTTATGCAACTTAGTCTTTTAAACGTGTAGGAGTGTGTGAGGTGATTTTGAGCTAGGAACCTTGGTAGACAAGTTGATTTGGGGGCACGTGAGATGGTCCGTCTGTGAGTTACGGCCATCATGGGAGGAGATGACCCACCGTGACTTTGTCCTGTCATGTCTGCAGGTTTGCTGCTCGTATTCATTCTGTGCTTGAGGTTGACCTACTGTTAGTTTAACACGTAGGCTTTCGCGACCAATATCATCCATAACAGAGGTTTTTTGGGTTAGAGCGCATAAATATAAATGTGTCGTGAAACCCACCACCACCCGATACAGCCAATTAGTAAGGTTTGTCACGTAAACAGAACATGCCAATTCGTTACTAGTACAGCACACCGGTGTGTTGGAGAGCAAATCAGATTGTGAATAGGATGACTTACTGTTGTTTTTATATGTGCCCCTATAGTAGGTACCATATAACTTCGTTACAGTAATTACCATGTAACTCGGGCCTCTTGAATTGCGTAAAAAAAGCACTTAATCTAAGAGCTATTAAATCTTTGCTTTAGCCTTTTGTTGAAAAATACATTACCCTTGTGGTAATTTGGTCAATCAGTAATGAACTCGATCGGAGCAAACAGCTGCTCATGCCGAACGCGTGTATCTGTGCCAGCTGGATCACCCTGTTAAGATTGACTTTGCACGTGGATGAGAAATCCCGTTGTCAGCGTGCGCTGTCACAAATGCGTGCTGTCACATTGTGGCAAGTTAACCCTTTCCCGTTCCTAGACATTTGCAAGTCGCAGGGTGGGTCTCTTTTTCACCTCTGAATCTTTTCTTTTGAGAGGCATAGTGCCATTGTTTTTAAATACATTGTACTCACCGCAGAGAACCGTAGCGACACGACTGCACTGCACAATAGCTGGCACCAAACTGTGCCACACGCCCTCCCTCATGGCCTCATGGGAGCCTCGGTACCGATAAAGTTATTTTGTTATAGTTTTTCTCCCGGTTTCGTTTTGACAATTTACACGTATGTCATCGGAACGGAATCTGGGAAAAAAAACTGATGACGTACACTTACGTGCACGTTCGTCATAGGAAGGATTAGGGTTGAGGGATGGCTCTTGGTTCACTGTGTTGGGGGCTGATGATAGTGGCGCGTTGTGCATGTTGTTGCAGCCCAGCATGGCCCCACCGCGGACTGGGAGAAGATGGCCGTGAGCTACTTCGCCAACAAGCTGCAGGACGGCAGCGTCGCTGAGATGGTGATTGCTCCCCCCGCTATCCCAGCGGTTGTCACTCCATCCGCAGTGTCATCTTCATTATCAGCTATGTATGTACAGTCTGTAGTGGCTTTTCTGAAGAGCACCACGTTCCGGAAAAATCGCATTATAATAGAGGGTAAAGCACAGTTCGCGGTAACACATGGGATGCGTACGCAGGCCGAACAAAAATTGAGGCGCGTGGGTAGCATCTCGAAGCATCCAGCAGCACCCCGCCTTGTGTGATGCTACACCGAGGCAGCCGTAAAACTGTGTATTTCTATTCACGCGACGTATTTCTGTTTGCTCAATCGCGTTGTATCCCAATACGTTCATCGCATTATATTAAATTCGCATTATAGGAGATCAGACTGTATGTATGTTGAACTTCTTTCGCACCTCACATAACCAACCATGCTAATCGGAGGTTAAATCTATTGGGAGATGAAGGCCTCGCCAAATCGTTGCCACATCTCACAATTCGGTGTTGGTAGTAATCCACCGAGCACCTGCACGTAAGCAGATTTCATCGTGATATCTCACCGCAGTGGGTAGCTTCCGCTCCATCGCCACGTAGCGCCACAGCCTGCCTGTGACCCCTGTTTGTGCTCGGTGGCCACCAATAGAACCAATGTGCAGGCTAGAACCTGCTTGGCTTCCGAGATCTCACGTAAGCACCTTAGCCACATCGGGCGCACAATCCCCTGACGTGAATCCCGACTGCCGACCGTCATCCTTTCTAGCAACGCGTCCATCCCGTGCATCATGCAGCAATGATTTTTTTTAATGCAGGACAGAAATCGCATTATTTTGGTGATTCTGGAGGATTGGCAGTGCTGTTTCAATTGGCTGTGTCGGGTGGTGGTGGGGAAACGACACATCTATATTTACGCAATCTAACCCAAATTAAAAAAACGTTATTGTTCGACAGACAAACGTTGCGGGGCATGGTGCTACCCCGCACCACCCACTCTCGCGCAGCGCTCACCGTCGGCACTTTCGTTCATTATTTGTCAGGCGCTACGGGGGAATCGCATCTCTGTTTTACCCCTGTGTGCGCGTGCAAGCAGGTGCCGTCGCTCAATGACGTGCCTCTGCAGCAGCTGAAGTCGGGGGGAGTGGCGCGATTCCGCTGCATGGTGCAGGACATGTTCGACCCCGAGTTCTACCTGCGAGTGTTCGAGGTGCAGGGGCCGGACGCACAGACCAGCGGTACGCTGCACCCTTACCACCCCCCTCGCTCTCCTCTCCCCTGCCCACCACCAATCCCCACACCAGCCTCCCCTGTTTTTACCAAACCCCAACTATTGAGCTGTGCTCTGTGCCTATGATGATGATATAATGCTACTACTAAAAAAATATTATTTTTGTTTTACCAGGTAAGGCCCACTGAGCTATATAGCTCTTTTTCAGAAGTGACTTGGCCACAAACGATACCTCAAACGCAGTGGCTTATCATGTGTACATTTATATCATGCAAATACTCTAAATGCATAGAAAATGGGCCCTTTATTGCCAGTATCAAAGTGTAGTGACATAGAATGGATCACTACGGCGCGTAGTGCTAGGTACAGTAGAATGAGGGAATGCGGGTGTAGCAGCCACCACAGCATGTAATGCCACGGAGTGGGTCACTAGCGTGCGTGGTGCTGGCTGCTGGCAGAGAGGGGCATATGAGTGCGTGTGGTTAATGCAAACTATGATTCCTTGCAAAAGGTTTCTATTTGGTGTTTGAACATCTTAATATCTCCTGTTTTATTGCCAGAAAGGATAAAAACTATTCTTATTTTTAAATCCTTTATATTAAGTTCACTTGCTTGCGCGCTTACGACCGTGCAAATCTTTCGGTCGTTTTTTAACCCACTTCCCGTGATCCAATCGAGCTGACATTTTGCACACAGACTCGTTGTGCGTGACAATTAATTTTCGTGATAATTTTTTTCTAAATTTTACACTTTTTAGGAAAAAATAAATTATATTTAATTACCAATTGCTTAATGGTGGCAGGCAATCATCTGACCCATAGGTGGCAGCCATCTCAAGCCAGAGGACGAGAGGACTCTAGCCGTCATGCATATAAAGGATTTATAGTGAAAAACTTTGTTTTTACGGGTTAATTTTTTTAATACTCTAAATGCATATTTATAAATGCGGAGAGAAAAACCGGAGGACCCGGACAAAAATCCACACGACCACAGGGAGACCACGCAAACTCCAAATATACAGGCTTTAGGGTCGGGATCGAACCCACGACCTCCTGTATACCGGGCCAGGCAGTTAACATCACGCCACCGTGGCATCCATAATAATGATAAAAATAAAGTAACCTTTTACACTGCCATTAATGGAATTTGATATTATTGACGACGTTTTAGACAATGTCCCTTTTTCATGGCAGAAATATAGAGAGGTCAGAGAGCTTGAGTGAATAATCGCTTTAGACTGCACTATATGCCGTTATGCTTTTGCCAGCTCATCAAGAACTACTTTTGGATATCTGAATGGTGAATATAATACCGTTTGTCGTATTATGTTGACAACAGTTGTTTTACTTGCAGGCAGTGGGACACGTGAGTGTACGTACATACGTATGTTTAACTTCTTTCGCGCCATACATAGCCAACCGTGCTAATCGGAGGTGCGGAGTGAGTGTGCACGATGCGCCGATGCCTTTGTTTACGTGTCCTCTGTGTTTCCATGCATTCCAGGTGCTGAGATGTGGAAAATATCGAGACATCGCAGCATGTGGCGTGAGTTCCTTTTTTTTTACATTTTTAAATTAACAAGGCATATTTGAGTTGGTTGTTTGGTTAGCTTATTAGCAGGTTAAAGAACTCGTGCAGATGGACAGGTTCTTGTTTTGCCGGGCGGGGGCGGCGCACACCTGTAAACCAGCACTGTGGAGGCAGTGAGAGTTGGTGGATCACCGCAAAAGAAAGCCGTCTCTGGTGTGGACCAATCAGTTTCAAAGACAATGCATATATTATCAGAGTACGTTTTTTTTGTTTGCATTTTGACCACAAGTATTGTGGTTAATGCAGACATGATTCCTTGTAAAGGTTTCAGTTTGGTGTTTTAACATCTTAACACCTGTTTTGTTGCCAGGGGAAAACCTATTTTCTTATTTTGGTACTGGCAAAAGAGGTCCCATGATACTGAACTATAGTTTAACATGCAGGCTTTCGTGACCAATATCATCCATAATTGAGGTTTTTGGGTTAGATCGCGTAAATATATAAATGTGTCATTAAAACCCGCCACCACCCGACACAGCCAACGAGTAAGGGTTGTCACGTAAACAGAACATGCCAATTCGTCACTAGTAAAAAAAAAGAACATCAGAGAATATTAAATTCTCCCAAATGCAACTGTCAGCAGTAGCAGAACACGCGTGCCAACAAGGACACTCAATTGATTTTGATAATGTTGAAGTTTTGTGCAAAACTAGCTACTACTGGCCAAGACTAATTAGAGAATCAAAATTGAAAGAAATCAAAAGAACTTAAACCGTTCGGATAGCTACCATCTTAGTGTTGCGTGGAAGCGAATCGTCAAATAATACATTATTTAAATGCATGCCTAAAAAGGGCAGCGCACTTCAATAAGGATTACCGTTGGTAGGGCTATTTTAATAAACACAACAGACAGGAAGGACAAGTTGAAAGGGCTCGCATAATGCACATGCATAATGTACGTTGTCTCAATAATCCCACCCCCCCCATCATTGCGCAGGAGCGCAGAAGTGTGGTCAACACATCTACGCCTCTATGTAAGGAACGAAACAGTAAGACTTCACAAATCTGGCTGTCGCCTGATGAAGCTAGTTGTAATTACTGGAGAAACGTCGTACTCAGATTGTAAATGTTGTGGCTTGACTCTCCAACACACCAGTGTGCTGTACTCGTGACGAATTGGCATGTTCTGTTTACGTGACAACCCTTACTAGTTGGCTGTGTCAGGTGATGGCAGGTTTTAATGACACATTTATATATTTATGTGACCTAACCCAAAAAGCTCGATTATGGATGATATTGGTCGTGAAAGCCTGCATGTTAAACTGTAGTCCAGTATTATGGGACCTCTTTTGCCGGTACCAAAATATGAGAATAGGTTTTCCCCTTTTTTCTGCCAACAAAACAGGTGTTAAGATGTTAAAACACCAAACTTAAACCTTTTGCAAGGAATCATATATACAGTACTATAGTGGTGATCACGTGGATTTCGGATTCACCGGATCCACATAGTTATTCGGTTTATGCACATGACTTGTAATAAACATTTCCAAGAATAACAATGTAATATAACTTGTTAGATTATTCATTTGAGCTTAAGGGGAAATCCATGAATTATTAATGAATGTAAAAAATCTCAGGTGCTCGGTTAATCCGCAAATTGGCATAAACCGCACGCGGATAATCGAAAGTCTACTGTAGTTGGCTACACGTGCATTTCCCGACTTCACTGATTGGTTGACCAGATACTAAGGGGTTAGGGTGGTTATCCTCTAGGTTATCCTCTAGGCCAAGAGGATAACTAGGCCAAGAGGATAACTAAATTAAAACAATAGATATTTAACTTAAATGCCACAGGCTGTCGATGGTTAGACTAAGACTACATCCCAACGCTGACTAAACACAGGGATGTGCATTGTGTGATTGCATGTTGATCCGATCGGAGCGGTTGTGTAGCGGTTAGCACACTGTGCTACAAAACCCGATGACCCGAGTTCAATTACCTCTCGCGGCCAACACCAGTGATGATCTTCTTGGTTCTTTCGGTAAAGTCACGTAGAAGGGAAGTAATAAAATAATAAAAATAAAACATAATAAAATTATTCTCACGACGTTTCGGCCACAACGCAAGCAGCCGTCCTCAGGTGAAAAACCAGGTCCGTCGAGGCGACAGAGTCTGAATGAAACAGCACACGAGCTTGGAGCATATATATAAGCTGGGCGCCTTGACAAAGGAATTTGCATATCAAGAGGAAGATTTATCTTAACCGTTCCTGGGCCTCCCCTAGGTCGACTCAGCCTCAGATGAGTACCTGGCGGCCGGGCGTGGTGCTGGCCACCAACCCCCTCGTGTGTCGTACCGGCCTTCATAGGTGCTATTCACTAACAGCACTTGCCCAAAAAGTCTGTTTGGGCTATACGGGAGGTCTCTGTCTTTGTCTCTCTGTGCCCCATGTCAGCCCCAGCAGCAAGTAAACCTGGAGTCGCCACGCAACGTCACGGCTGACCGGCAGACCTTCTACTGCGTGCCTGTCCCTGGGGAGGCAGCCTGGGTCAAGGAGATATCCTTCACTTGACACCGTAGTGGTGCCTGGGAGGTGCGGTGGGAATATTCACTGATGGCAGTGCAGGGGATGCTGAGCAAACCGTGGGGTGGCATAGTTATATGTATGTTGAACTTCTTTCACACCGTACATAGCCAACCGTGCTAATGGGAGGTGCAGGGGAAGGACAAGAAACTAAAAACAAAAAACAGTTCTAAAGAAGTTGGTATTCAATCTAGTATCGTGGTACTGGCCTCTGAGTAGAGTGCCACTTGTTTTCTACCCAGTCCCATGAGCAGAGGAGCAAATACATACTTGTGCTACCGCCTGCCTGGATAGTTGGTGTAAAGTTTGTACTTTTAACTTCCAACTAATATAGTATCCAGATTGCCTCATTTTAACCTTTAAACTAAACAATTTTTTACTTTACCAGGTAAGGCCCACTGAGTTAGTAGCTCTTTTTCAGAAGCGACCTGGCCACAAATGATAGCTCGCCGAAGTGGCTTATTGTGTGGAAATTTATAGCAGCCAAATACTCTTCAGTGCATGTTTCTAAATGTGGAGGGTAGAACCAGAGGACCCGGAGAAAAATCCACACAACCACGGGGAGAACATGCACATACCAAATATACAGGCGTGAGGGTTGGGATCAAACCCACGGCCTCCTGTATACCAGGTGAGGTAGTTAACATCTCACCACCATGGCGCCCCATATTGGCAGTCAAGCTTGGTTGCCTTTAAAAGTGTAAATTCGGCGATGCACTGTGCTGGGAGACCCTCATCCAGCAGTGGATGGACAAGAGGGCTGTAACGTATGCTAAAAAAATCTCTTGGCGGCATTCGCCAACGGGCGGTCGGGCAAACGGAGAAGGACCTGTATAAATGAGTTGCATCTCCTGTAATAAGAGAAACTGCAAATAATCCTTACATAGCGTTGGACACAAGTTCGCACGGAGAGCGACGAGCAGAGCCTCGGCCTCCACCTCGTACTCGGTGCAGCGCAACAAGCGAAGCCTGGAGGAGGAGGCCGAGTCGTCGCCGCACGCCCAGCACGCTGGCCCCGCCGGTAACCCACGCAGAGAATTCCACGCACCCCCCCCCCCCCCGCCCCCATTGCCACGCACGGCAGCATCCCAACATTGGCAAGGTGTCTGTAAAACGTTTTCCTGCTTGGCTTGTGTAACGCATTTTAAATCGACGCCAAAGTCTGCTTGTGACACCTGATCGCAATTCTCTCTTCCGTGGAGGGTCAGGCCATCGGCGCCCAAGTCAAGAAATGTGTTCCAACTGTTAGTGACTTACTCTTTGGTTCTTTCGGTAAAGTCACATAGATCACGACGTTTCGATTACAACACAAGCAACCGTCTTCAGGTGAACAAGAGGGGGAATCTGCTGAGACAGGCTGTTTATAACGGTTTAGAGATGGGCGGGTCAGCTAATGTTAATGTAGGAGTGAGCAAGAGAGAGCGAGTAGGAGAGAGAAATTTGCTTGTAAATGTAAGCTCGGCGAGGGCCGAACTTGGCTTGGGCCCGGAAATTTGCTTGTAAATCAGAAGAATTCCCCCATCAAAACACTACACCATAGGGACCGTTGCATCTGACCAGCACCACCTATACAGTGAACTGGAGCACGTACGTCAAGCCCTCAAGATGAATGGATATTCAGAACGTTACAACGACAAACAAGACAAAACACGACATTGCATATACTGCATTGTGTTGGGGAGAGCAGTGGTGTAGTGATTTGCACACTATGAACCTGACGACCTGAGTTCTATTTCTGGTCATGGCTATGAGTGATATCTGAACCGGTCCTGCTGGGTCCTGCTTCCTCCAACTCAGCATGGTGAGGTATCGTCAAATAATCCCTACAACCTACACGAAATGGAGAGTGCCCACCAACCAACAGTATATTGACAAACGACTGCTTACATGTGAACATTCCCATACCACCTAGGACTGACAACAGAGGTGAACGTCGTAAAGTATGGTCCCCTACTGTGTGGACCAGTGTTCACTTGGAAGAGATCTCGCTGGTAGTTGTGTAGTAACCGCTTCTCTAGGCCGTACTCCAGCGTGAAGGGTCGCTCTGATCCGAATGGATTCTCTGTCTCGTGGCATGACACCGACAGCAACTGTGGGGTGGCCCGATTAGCGCGGTTGGCTACGTACGGTGTGAAAGAAGTTCAACATTCATACGTACGTACACGCAGATGGCAGTGTGTGCCTTTGAACAGACTGGCAAGGCTGTTTGTTGCGCGCCGCCTCCTGCGTCCAGGTGCCGCGGGGCTGCCCCTCAGCCAGAGCCCGCAGGCCAAACGCAAGCAGACGCTCCGGGCACCTCCCGGCAGGGCCCCGGGTGGGTGCCTTCCCTCCGCCGACCTCAACTTCCCGCTGCCCGACGAGACGGGGCCCGCCTGCATCATCAAGGTGAGCACCGGGGAGGTTGGACTCCTATTCAGACTCCACTGGTTGGCTACGTACGGTGTTCAAAAGAATTTCAACATACATACGTACGACCACAAAACGCACGAGTCTTCGTGGAAGTTAAGCCCGTTAAAAAAAGGTAAGAGGGGATGGATACCGTGAAAGGTTGTGAATTTTTTAAGCTGAACATTTAAAAAAGTTTGACATGTAGTTTGTTTACATTTTAGTATATAACGCGACGTGTGCCTTGGCGGCGTGACTTGAACCTCCTCGCCTGGTATACAGCAGGTCGTGGGTTCGATTCCGACTGACGGCTGTATATTTTGAGTTTCCATGTTCTCCCCGTGGTTGTGTGGATTTGTCTGCGGGCCGATTTTTCTCTCCACATTTAGAATAAATTTGCCTTAAGAATATTTGGCTGCTATAAATTTCCACGTGATAAGCCACTACGTTTAGCTCTCATTTGTGGGCAGGTCGCTTCTAAAAAAATAGCTATATAGCCCAGTGGGCTTTACCCGGTAAAATAAAAAAAATATTTAAAATAGTCATCACTTTGTGAGTGATGGCAACAACGTAAACCCGTAAAATGTGGTGGTGAAACGCAGTGACATGCGGTCCCACCCCTGCCCCCGGGTTGCTTCTGCTTTGCAGGTGTACGAGGACTGGGATTCCATCAAGCTCAACGACATAGTGGAGGTGTTTGGAATCCTGTCAATGGACCCAGAGCTTGGGCTGCTGCAGGATAGCAGGCAAGCGCACGCACCCTCGGTCGCTCGGTCGCTCTCACCCCACTGGTGCCCATCTCCAGCAAACAAAACTCTGGGCGGTGAGCCAGCACCGCTGAGACCCCCACCCGAGTTTAAGGTGGGGCAGCTGCCTGGGAATCAACCAGATTCTAAAGTATAGCGGCGCGATGTTCTTGCCTCGCTCGTCAATATGTCAACACTCTATGCAGAGCATGAAGGTGCTGCATCTAGCGTTGGTACCACGTGATGCCACGAGACTCTGCCGCCTGTAATTTCACAAATGTTTAGTTAGTTTTCGCTTTGACTCTGCCCAGTCTGTGTTGAAAGTATGTTGCTGCTGATGTTGAACACACTTAAAATGTTGACCTAAGCAATAATTCTCGATTAATCATGCTGCAGCCAAGTACAAAGACAAACATTCCTCTTATAGCCTGAACAGAATGTGGGGACAAATGCTGTTAGCGAGCACCTTTGAAGGCCGGCACGGCACACGAGGGGCTTGGTGCCCAGCTCCACGCCCAGCCGCCTTTGTCTCCCGAATGGCGATGTTTACTATACTATACACGGCACCAGGTACTCATTCTAGGCTGAGTCGACCTAGGAGAGGCTCGGGATCGGTTCAGATAATTGTCATTGATGTTGGCCATGAGCAGGAATCGAAGTCGGACCGTCTGGTTTCGTAGCACAGTGCGCTAACTGCAACACCGTCGCTATAACCGCTACACTACCACGAAGTACGCGCACAATCGCCTGTGCACAGCGGCTTGGTTTTAAATCCAATGCAAGATTCTATTCCTTCCCATTCCACACCCTCATGCTAACTCTTCCCCACATGGCTCTTCCTTCACCTGGCCCCTTCATGTACTCTCCTGGTTCCTAAGACACGTGAAAAAAGAGATTCTTATACTACATACCTCCTGTTTGGAGTAGTTGATTTCGAACCATTTTGATCCACAAATTATTACCAGCTGAATTGTATTTTTCATTGGCCGATGAAATAGGGGCAAAAGATTGGAATCCAGACGGTGATGGTTCGTGATATCGGTACAGGCCCAGAACTTTGCAACGAGGTCTCGGAGCTCCGTGATTGAGAAGATCTTGGCTCAAATTTTGACTCCCTTTTTTGTCCCACTGCCGGTCTCCGCGCGCTTCAGCGGTGGCACGGGCGGCGCGATGGCGAGCGGTGGCATGGCGGACGCGGAGATGGAGACGGAGACTGGCGAAGCAGGGCAGGGGGACGACGGGCGCCACCGCTGCCCGCCAGCCTCGCTGGTGCCTCGCCTGCACGCGCTCACCATGCGCAAGCTGACGCACGTCAACCCCCTGCTGCCCGCAGACCTGCACCCCGGTGAGAGTGCCCGCGCCGTTCTCGCCGAGCCGTGCCATTGACGGTCGATCTGAGCTCGGTCGATGTTGACGGTTGGTCTGGGTGAGGCCGATGCTGACGCGTCTGCGGTGCCGCGCGTGTTTGCAGTGTGCGGCTCGCTGCTGGCGGAGGCGAAGTCGGTGCGCTCGGAGCTGCTCGGGGCACTGAGCCACGCGCTGCTGGGGGACGAGCTGGCCGCCGAGTACCTCCTGCTGCACCTCGTCTCCTCCGTGTGAGCGCTCGCCACCCCCTACGCTCACCACTCCCGACGCTCACCACTCCCGACGCTCACCACTCCCTACGCTCACCACTCCCTACGCTCACCACCTCCTACGCTCGCCACCCCCTACGCTCACCACCCCCTACGCTCACCACCCCCTACGCTCACCACCCCCGATGCTCACCACCCCCTACGCTCACCACCCCTCATGCTCACCGTTAAGCCACCACGATCACCATGACGCCATACAAAGACGGTCATTACATCGCGCGCTTTCAGATGTGCTTTTGCGACCATCTGGAGCGCTCTGGCGCTATGCACTTTTAAAGCATCTAGATTGAAAACCCATTTCTTTAGAAGTGCTTCTTGTGTTTAGTTGGTTGTCCTTCCCCCGCACCTCCGGTTAGCACGGTTGGCAACGCACGGTACAAAATAAGTTCTTAGCGTGGCTCTCGACCCCTGGTGTTACTGGATTAACATGGACCCACGCACACACATACACACCCATGTACACATTGGCACTTGAGACTATCTCAGTAATAAGTTACCTCCTTGGATGGAACACCCCCTTATGGATACCGTCGTGCGTGCTCGAGCAGATACGCCCGGCGAGACGTGATGCCGCTGGGAAAGTTCTCTCTGAACCTGAGCGGCTGCCCCTGCAACCCGGCCTTCACTCAGGAGCTCTACCTCTTCCTCCAGCAGCTCGTCACCACGGTAACAGCGACACACGCGACGTGGCGCCAAGCCGCTCACTCGGGCGTCGTTGACAAAGACACTCTCCTCCACGCAGTGGGCTTGAGTCGCACTCGATGGCCTGTAGCGCAGGTGGCAGGAACAGCGGCTGTGTCACATTGGTAAATTCTGAGTTTAACACGTGGTGAGGGCTTTGCTATTCTGGCAAATTGCCCGGTGATGCTGGATATAATTACCAGCGAAACGTCGTACTCAAAATTTTTAGATGTTGTGGATTCACTCTTCAACACACCGGTGGGCTAAAGTAGTGAACTATTTTGTCTTTTGTCAACGTGACACTTTTTTACTGATTGGCCGTGTCGGGTGGTGGAGGGTTATGACACATTTATAAATAATGCGATCTAACCAAAAAACGTTTATTATGAACAAATTCTGAGTATTTGGTGTCTTGATCATCGACCAAGATAGAGGCCTCCCCAAACCTTCACTGTCTGGTGCAGTGTGTATTAAACATAAGCACTGAGTGAGAGCGTGGTGCTGGCCACCCAGCCCTGTCGCGTGCCGTGCCCGCCTGCATAGGTGCTGCTCGCTAACCGCAATTGCTCCCGCAGTCTATTTCGGCTCACGTGGGGGGGGGATCTTTGTCTTTGCGGTGTTTGAACACACACACACACACACGCGCGCGCGCAGTCTCACCGGCTGCCCATGTCGCTGGGCGCAATGAACGGCGCGCGGCTCGCCCCCTGCAAGGACTACGCGCAGAACCGCCTGCGCACGGGCGCCCTGCAGCTCCCCAACGGGGCCTCGCTCTTCCTCGACGAGACCGAGCTGCAGCCCGGACAGCTGGACGCCACGGGTGAGCCCAGGCGTCAGGCCGCAGCCAGCGGGGGGCGTGGAGTGTGCAGGCCATGGTGCAATTGCAGGATCGAACCCAATTGCACCATGGCTTGTGGGCCGGGGATCCAGGCGGATCCCTGGCCCACTCCCACTGTGCTGCTGTGGTGAGATGTCAACTACCTACAGGAGGTTGTGCGTTCGACCCGGACCCTGACGCCTGCTGTATATTGCATGTTCTCCCCGTGGTCACGTGGATTTTTCTCCAAGTCCACCGGTTTTCCGCTCCACATTTAGAATTAACATCACGCGTTTACAGTATTTGGCTGATATAAATTGACACGTGATTAGCCACTTCATTAGGCTCTCTCGTATCACAACACCTCTAGGTGCAGCTGCAGCCTCTGCAGTGGCTTGCTTATGCCACTGCTGGCGGAAAGGGCCTCCGCTACAGAGAGCTCTAGAAGAGTGCGCGTGTGAGTTGTATGTCGAAATACGGTGGCAGAACTGCACAGACCCGGCTGAAATGAATCACTGGGCAGGACCGTACCTGAGGTCCGACGAGATTGGGGTGCACGTTCCGGGCGGTGTGATCGTCGGTTGCACGTGTGTTGTCCGCTAATATCCCCAGTTGCGGCCAGTGGCCTAACGGTACTCGTGTGCTCGTCTGGCAGGCGTACGCAATGTCACGGCGCTTGGGAACGTCATCTCGTGGCAGAAGGTGGACTACGACTTTAGTTTCCACCAGGTGGAGTTCCCGTGCAGCCTGAACGTGCTGGTGGTGTCCGAGGGCCGCTCCCTGCTGCCCGTGAGTCTCCACCCGCTGCTTCACCCTCCCCTCTCCCTGCGCACACCCCACACTTCCGGCTTGTAGACTTTGCAAACCGCTACCCGATTCTGACGCGGCCCTTAGGTGTGTACACTGCATTCACGGTGTGCTCGTGTCTGCGTGCACCGTGTGCGTACTCACGTCTGTGTGCGTACTGGTGTCTGTGTGCGTGCTCGTGTTTGCGTGCACCGTGTGCGTAGTCGTGTCTGTGTGCACCGTGTGCGTGCTCGTGTCTGGGTGCACCGTGTGCGTGCTGGTGTCTGTGTGCGTGCTCGTGTCTGTGTGCGTGCTCGTGTCTGCGTGCACGATGTTTGTACGTGTGTGTGTGTGTAACCCTTGGGGAGTGGTAGTGTAATGGTTAGCGCACCACGCTAGAACACGATGACCCGAGTTCGATTCCCGCACACGGCCAACACCAGTGACGATTATCTGAACCGGTCTTGGGCCTCCCCTAGGTCGACTCGACCTCAAAATGTGTACCTTGTGTGGTGTGTCTAAACATCACCACTAGGGAGACAAAGGCGGCCGTGCCGGCCTTTATTGGTGCTACTCGCTAACATAACTTGCCCCAACAGTCTGTTAAGGTTATATGGGCGGGGGATCTTTTGTCTTTTGTTTCCCGATGCAGTCGGATTGCCAGATGCGCCTCGCGCCAGCACCCGTGCCGGCGGACCCGGCCGCGTACTTCACGGCGCTGCGCGCATCCCTGAGCCCCGCACTCCTCGACCGCGTACGCTCGTACCTCACACTGGCGCGCCTCTCCGACTACAGCATCGGTGACGACGTGTCCAAGGTGAGCGACTGCGCGCCCCCCGCGGTTCCCGTCGCATACGGCCGACTGCCGGGTCGGCCTAGAACAGGGCTGGGACACATTTTTCTTCACCGATGGGGCCCGAACAAGATTTTAACAAAGGGCTTTGGCGGGCCACACAAATGGTCTGACGCGAGACTTTTCTAATGCCCAAACTGTATGCATTGACTGTGTGCTCGGAACTGCTTGAGAGACGGACTATCCCTTTCTCACTGGCACATCCGAGCTGAAAACAGCACGGAGCCCTCACGGTCTGGGGAGTTTTCCCGCCCCATACGGCCGGTGGGTATGGGCGGACAATTGTGCACGCTTCGGTTCCGCGCCATCTCCGCTCGCAATTTCCAGTATTAAAAGTCTGGCAGGTGACTAATGGAGCCAAAGATTTTAAACGGTGTTGCCCGGTCTACAATATTCCTCTCTCGTAACCCAATTCACATGGCTAAGGTGCTTGCAGTTATGCGTGAATATCGTTTGCCAGCCGTTTGGAAGTGGTAGGCCTCGTGTAGCCGCAGGCCGTATGAAATGCCCGTTCTCTAATCAGTAGGTTGAGTGAGCTCACAACCGGAGGCCACGTGATCGTTTGGCTTCTTTCCAATAATTTCACATAAAAAATTACGATCTCTTGAGTGCTCACGCTTGCAATCCCACATTTCAACATTGCCTTCAACTCGCATGGCGGTCGTGTGCTTTTGCAAACGAGACAAAAAACTGCATCACAGTGGGCTCATTACCTAATACACTGAAGGAGAGTCAATGAGATACATATCTATTGAATCACAAGATATGTTTGTGTTAGGCCACAACGATGTGGCTAAATATACACAGTATACGTGTAGGATGCATTTTATAGATGCACGCTATGGCTCAGAGGCTGCCAGGCTCGGAGAGATTTTACGTTTCAGTTTCTGGTAACAAATAGAAATCAATTAGGTGACTTCACTCGGACCATAATTCATAAAGATAATGGATCTCGATAGGCTCTTCCCTGGTTAAATGAATGACATTTATTGATTCATGTCTGGTCGTTACGCATCTGTGTCGGTATAGTATTTCCCTGCCATGGCTAAAGTATAATTTATGATGTAATATAAAACCCTAACGTGTCCAGTTTCAGTAAAACATAGCAGCCGCTTACAGGATCTATCATCGTTCAGACATGCACGCTTTTCTGATATTACATTTATTCGCACATATTTTATACACAATTTCTAACCTACATTATTATTGTTAATTCGTTATAATTTTCGCTAATTAATGTTTTAATTCATTGATAAGTTTGATTTTTTTTTGAGACGAACATCACGCTATTTATTTCAGGCGCGTGTCGCTGTGTCAGCGTTAATGATGAAAATAAATTTGTGTGCATTAGAAAGTTGTTGGGGAGCGGTAGTGTAGCGGTTAGCGCGCTTTGCTACGAACCCGGGGACCCTAATTTGATTCCCGCCATGGCCAACAGCAGTGACGATTATCTGAACCGGTCCTGGGCCTCCCCTAGGTCGACTCGGCCTCAAATGATGTGTACATATCGCCACTAGGGAGACAAAGGCGGTCGGGCGTGGTGCTGGCCAACCACCCCCTCTTGTGCTATGCCATTAACAGCACTTGCCCCAACAGTCTGTTAAGGCTATAAGGGGGATCTTTGTCTTTATATTAGAAAGTAGTTTTAGTCGTGCTCTCAGTATATAAGGACACTAATTGTATTCCGCTCTCAGTTTGTGGCTGCGATCCCATTGTGTGGATATCTGTGACTACTGGACATTCACTATACTTCACACCGATTGGACCCCGTGGCTGGACCGCAAGGCTGCGTAATCTGAACGCGCTGCGCGTTGTCAAATCCCAGGCCAGGATTGACTCGGCCCTGGATCTGTCGAGGGTTGAGTGAAGGAATTGAGTTCTGTGTAAGTCGTGGGCACAGTGAGGCGGTGGCTCTCTGTGGACGGTATCCTCCGCTGGGCTGTGCGAGTGTTGTGAACGCCCCCTGCCCCCTCTCCCCCCTAACAGGCGGTGGAGGAGGATTTTGTGGAGATGAGACGGGAGGACCCTCAGGTCACGGGCGATGACCTGCACTTGCTGCTTGTCGTCGCCAGGTCTGTACCTCGCACGTGGTGTCTGTGTGCGCACCCAAGCGCGTGGTTTAACTCGACTGCATTGCCATTGCTATCCCCATAAGACAAAGACAAAGCCCCCGTATAGCCTTAACAGACGGTTGGGGCAAGCGCTGTTAGCGAGTAGCGGCGCCTATGAAGGCCGCAACGGCACACGACGGGGGTGAGTGGACAGCATCATGCCCGGCCGCATTTGGCGACATTTACACACCACACCAGGTACTCATTTTGAGGCCGAGTCGACCTAGGGGAGGCCCGAGACCAGTTCAGATATTCGTCACCCATGTTGGCCATGAGCGGAAATCGAACCCACGTCGCCGCGTTCGTAGCACAGCCGCACTAACCACTACACTGCCGCCAGCCCATAAGAGGGCGTGCTCGCGCATGCAATTAATAAGTTATTATAAAGGCGGTTGTCAGTATTTCAGCGAGCTGTCGGGTTGGCAAAGAGGAGGGTGGGGGGGTCCACGGCTGGTTCAGATATCGCTCACCACTGATGTTAGTGTGGGCCAGGAGTCGCACACACGTGGACGGTCGGGTTCATAGCGCCCCTTTGCACTGAATGAAATGACGACGAGAACGTTCCACCTACGGTCAAATTTGAAAATAAAGCCAGAAAATTACTGGCTTTAAACGAACGTAATAATCGTCATCACCGACTGCAACAATTTGGCAGCACTCGCCTGAAAACAGGTCGTGAGAATCGGTGAGGCTTTCCTGGGTAAACAAGCGTAGTAGGAATAATAACAATGGTGACGGCTGAAATGTCCCAGGCCACCCAGCAATGGCCGCTTTGTTTACGTAGCAGTCACGGTGATCTTGATGCACTTAACCGAGCCAAGATATTATTGTGGGTTAGTGACTCGTGGCCTTTTGATGGTAAACGATCGCCAATCGTACAAACGTTGAGTTGTGTGAAATACTCTTAGGTTTTTTCGGTAAAGTCACGTAGGGAATAAATAAATACATAATAACGGCTTGTGTAAATAATGGAAATAAAATAATAAATCACGACGTTTCGGAGGCAACACAAGCTTCCGTCTTCAGGTGGAACCGTCACAGGCACGATTGCTGTATCAAGTAACACTGACTGTGATGCTGTGACGGTTCCACCTGAAGACGGAAGCTTGTGTTGCCTCCGAAACGTCGTGATTTATTATTTTATTTCTATTATTTCTTCTATTAATGTAAGATTTTTTGTTATTTATTTATTTTTTACCTACGTACCTTTACCGAAAAAACCTAAGAGTATGAATCCTTGCAGTCACGAAAGCTTCAAATCTAGAATTGTGTGAAATAGTCGCAAGTCGCCCGTTGTACCCCATACAGGGTTGCGTGAGAGTCATCTGCAACTGTGTAGTGGAGAGCGAGCGACTGTTTCAAGTAGGTTTTGTGTGAAATAGAAATGGGAGCAGACGGCACCCAAGAAGTTTGCCCCCTGAGGCTGCTCACTGACCGTGTGACGCTGTGCCGACTGTTGGTTTGTGCCTTCCAGTACCATCTTTAGCATATTGGTTGTGATATTCTTTTTTGTTGTTGTTTACATTTTGCTGAAGGAAACGGTTGGCGGAGACACGTGCGCTAATTGCTTCATGCAGCCAGAAAATAATAAGAGAAGACGTGAAAAAGTAGCGTAGATAAGGATAAAGAAATCTGGATAGAAAAGCGAGAATCTTCTTTTTGAGGAGTTACATTTGAGACATAAAAGCGTCATACAAATGCAGATAATTGCATTACAACATGAGAAGACGTCCATATTCCACGGGCTTGTACAACAGTGGTGGTGTTAATGTGCGTGAAGATCCCCGGTTTAGATTTTTCACGAAGCTCACGGTCCACCCTAAACCCCATCCACTGCACAAACCATGGCAGATGCAGGTACTTGACACAAATAGAAAATGAACTCGCCAGCTTAACTGTGGTCATCCAGAACAGACCCTACAACATATAATGACGCAATGCCCAATCCACAAATACAAAGGAGACATTACGGCGATGATACACTACTCCGCTGCTCCTGACGCAGTTGTCTGGCTTCACCACCTGAATGTGAAATTGTAGTTCTGCGTTGACATCAGCCTTACAGAAGAATGTGCGTGCTCATGTGCATGCATGCTTGTGTGTGTGTGCGCGTAGGGAGCGGTAGTGTAGCGGTTTAACGCGCTGCACTACGAACCCGGCGACCTGAGTTCGATTCCCGCTCACGGCCAACACCAGTGACGATTATCTAAACCGGTACTGGGCCTCCCCTAGGTCGACTCAGCCTCAAATGAGTACCTGGTGCGGTGTGTAAACATCGCCACTAGGAAGACAGACGGCCAGGCGTGGTGCTGGCCACCCACCCCCTCGTGTGCCTTGCCGGCCTTTATTGGTGCTACTCGCTAACGGCACTTGTCCCAACAGTCTCTTCAAGGCTATACAGGGGATTTTTGTCTTTCCGACAGACCTGTTCTTCACCTGAGGACGGCTGCTTGCGTTGTGGCCGAAACGTCGTGAGAATTGTATTTTATTATGTTTTTATTTTATTATTTCCCTTCTACGTGACTTTACCGAAAGAACCAAGAAGATGAATCCCTGCAGTCACGAAAGCTTTAAATCGAAATCTTTGTCTTTGTGCGTGTTTCCACCGCCCCTGCAGGCTGCTGTCTCTGAGCGTGGGGCAGACAGGGCTGACGCGTGAGCGATGGTTGAGGGCCCAGCACCTGGAGGTGCAGCGCAGGCAGCGCATCAAGCGCAACAACCTCACACATGGGCACGAGCAGTGACCACAACGCGCGCTCACAGCGCAGCCTCCACGCTCTACAGACACACACACACCACGGACTCACGCACGCACACACCATGATACGACCTCGCGCTACGCGTGCACTGCACCACACGCGTACTTCACACATGTTCATGCCCGGCGCACACGCTACTCCCACACTGCTTGACCCGCTGCTTTCGCTCCCTCACACACACGCGCGCGCTTCAAACAAAGACAAAGATGCCCCAGTATAGCCTGAACAGACTGTTGGCACAAGTGCTGTTAGCGAGCACCTATGAAGGACGGCATGGCACACGAGGGGGTGGGTGGCCAGCACCACGCCCGGCCACCTTTGTCTCCCTAGCAGCGATGTTTATACACTGCACCAGGAACTCATTTGAGGCTGTGTCCTAGGACCTGTTCAGATATTCGTCACTGTTTCTGGCCGTGAGCAGGAGTCGAACTCGTGTCGCCAGGTCTGCAGCGCGGCGCATTAACCGCTACACACACGCTTCACGCACTCCACACATGTACGCTGAACACTCACATGCGCCATGCACACATGCTCTGCACACCTGACTCGGACGCTCCACAGAAGTATAACATTTTCCAGACTGTTATGGAAAGTACCGTTACCAAGCACTCATTAAGGCTGGTGTGGCCAGCACCACGCTTAGGCCGCACGCCGCACCAGGTACTCATTTAAACGCCGTCACCACTGATATTACCCAATGCCTGGAAAATCAAACTCTGGGCGCCCGGTTTACAGTTGCAGACCACTGCACCACAGCTCCCCACGTACGCGCCACATGCACGTTCTACATTCTCCATGCATTTGGCAAATGTGTGCAGCCCGTGCATTCGACGTAGTTTGTTGTCCTTCCTCTGCCGCACCTCCGATTAGCACGGTTGGCTACGTACGGTGCGAAAGAAGTTCAGCACACATACATCCGATTAGCACGGTTGGCTATGAAAGAAGTCCAACATACACATACGTACACATGCTGCAACCTTCATCTTGCTCTTCACAACGTCCACATGCTTAGCAGGCCAAGCACAATCTGCCACAATCATTGCCTTAATGTTTATTTTAGTTTTCAAATGACATTGATGTATTTTCTGCACGAAAAATAAACGCCGTTTGTGTATTCCGTTTGTGTGATGCTTGCCAGGGTTTTCTCTGTGCTTAAATATGCATTGTGATTTTGTTGTTGCTTGCGATGTATCCAGGGGTCCATTTTTTAGGTAGCTATCAACAGAGAGCGGTGTCGCGATCACCATGGAATAATCTCAGAGGGTTCGGGTCGTACATTTAGCAACAGTTGACACCGACTCATGTGTCCCAAGTGTGGAATTTCGCAAAGCAAAGCAGTCCAAGCCAATTTATCACGGGGTATGATATCAGCCTTGGTTCCTGGAGTAGCACACTAATGAATGGCTACTTTTGGATCCGCCTCTTCATCAACGATTGGGAGGCTTGGTCAGCGCGTTTTGCCTGTTCGCTTGGCTCGCCGTCGAACAAAGACTGGTCACCGCATCGCGAACTGTCGGTTGCGCTTCTGCGGCCGTCTGGAACGCTCATCCGATATTAGGAAGCCCACTGGAGCTGTGCACTTTTAAATCATCATATACGGTGAAAACTCACTTCTTTAGAACTGCCTGTTGTGTTTAGTTTGTCCTTCCACTGCACCTCCGATTATCACGGTTGGGTACGTACGGTGCGAAAGAAGTTCAACGTGCAACCAGGTGTGTGGGGTATGCGAGGTGGCCAGAAGATGGGAGTGTGGAGACCCCCCTCCACCCACATTTTACATTCGCGTTCTCCGTGGGTTCTTTGCACGTGTCGTGACTCTACTTGTCACTGTATGGTGCCGGGACTTGCGAAGTCACGGCCGGTAACGTCATTGCGGGCAGCCCGGGTTGCGGGCTGCAGTAACAACTCTAGGGGTGGTTGGGTGAGCGCTGGTTTGCACGGAGGCACCACGAGCAGTGAGGGAGCGAGAGCGAGCATCAGCCAGCCAGGGTTACTCTGGGGCAGCGGTCGGGAACCTATGGCTCGCGAGCCATATATGGCTCTTCCAGTGACGGCATATGGCTCCCAGACAATTTTGAGTTGAAAAAATAATAAAATAAAATAAAAAATCAGTTTGGAACTGAGTTTAAAATACTTGTGATATTACTTAATAATACTGTGTCATTTTAAGGTAGGCAGAAATTAGTTTTGAAGATAAATTTCACGGGTCATGCCTGCATGAAGCTCAACCTCACCACGTATGAACCAGACTACAAGGCCATCAGCAAAACTATGCAGCACCAGAAGTCGCATTAAAAGTAAGACATTTAATTTATTATACGTTAAAAATGCTATATGGCTCTCAATGAAATCAATTTAGAAATATTTGGCTTTTATGGCTCTCCCAGTCAAAAAGGTTCCCGACCCCTGCTCTGGGGCATGACACTGGCTGACCTGTCGTCACGTGACCGGACGATACTGGAGGGGGGCCACCGGTGGACGTGGGCCGAGGGGCGGTCACGTGGTTCCGAGGGGCTCTCGGGAACATTCGAGAAGGAGCTCGAGGAGCCTGGAAGGTGGGCGGGGCTGAGGGCGGAGCCAGCCCCAGCCCGGGAGCAGATAACAAGAGCTCCGTGAGCAGCTCGGGGTTCTTCTTCAAGTGTTGGTGTTCGAAGATCCACGTCGGGGAGAAGAAGCCTCCAGCCACGCAGTCCGGGACCCAGCTTGTGGTCCGGACTGGAATAGCGAACCGTGTCTAGTTCTGCCGTAGTGTGGTTAGATGGGCGTTCGAGACCCGAGCGTAGGTTGTGTTATGTTACGTACTGTTATGTGAATAAATAATGTTGCTCTAAAGATAACGTCTCCGACTCGGTTGGACTCACTACACACGGACTGGTTTTCTACCACGCTAAGCGTGTGTGGGTATTGTCTAACCATTCCAATGCAGGGCCATCTTTAAAACATATACATACAAAGTCTTTGGGAGTTCTTAAGTCATTCCTGGGTAATTGGAATTCATTTAAAATAATTCCAGGCTCCTAGCAGCTCTGCAATGGTCTGCCAAAAGCAACGCAGCGATGTTAAGTCGCAGAGGAACGTGAAGAACGGTACTCTTTGGTTTTTTTCAAAATTACTGTATCAAGTGATTTAAAAGTGTATCAAGTGATACAGTAATTTTTCTGTGACGGTGCCACCTGAAGACGGAAGCTTGTGTTGCCTCCGAAACGTCGTTATTTAATTTATTTTATATTTATTTTTTACCTACGTGACTTTACCGAAAAAAACAGAGTAGGGACCCTTGCAGTCACGAAAACTTCAAATCTAGAGTTAAGAACGGTGCATTGTAAAACCATATCCAATCAATAAAACGCACCATACATTTTCAGGCGATGACAGTAAACGTATTACCTATTAGACCTTTAATAGTGCTGTTTATCGCTGGCAGCTTGCCGTTATGGATCTGTGCTTAGCAGTCGCGAAGATGGGAAGGGGACTGCTGAAAGAGGAAGGTTTCTTATACAGTAAAGTTATCAAAAATGTATGTACGTAGAACTTCTTTCGCACCGTACGTAGCCAACCGTGCTAATCGGATGTGTGGGGGACGGACAACAAACTAAACACAAAAAGCCAGTTCTAAAGAAGTGAGTTTTCAAACCAGGCGATTTAAAAGTGCATCATAGCTCCCAAGCGGCTTCCTAATATTAGAAGCAAGAGCGTTCCAGACGGGCCACAGAAGCGCCAGTGACCGCCATTGGCCAGCGAGCCCAAAAACGACAACAACAAAAGATGAGAGATGTAGATGCGAATCTTTGCCACATTTTGATTGAGCGTGCGTCGCGTTGGCGGTGATTGAAGCTGCCGGCACACACGGCGAGAGGGCCGCAACAGTCGTGGTTGCGAGCGGGGCAGGGGACAGTGCCGGATTGCACTGGTCAACAAAAAAAACATGTTTTTCTGGCCTGGACTTTTGCAGCTGTTTTAGACTAATTTCAGGATGCTAATTCCAAATCTAATCTCAGATTTGCTCTATCACATCTCGTTTTTATGCTATCGGCATACCCCATTTTCATTGATTTTACCCGAAATTAACTCTGTCACTTATGATTGCAAGTTGTTGCGAGTCAGTGACTGCTTTAGTGTTAAAATATGGTGCTGTATTTTTAGGATAATGTGTTTATAATATAATTTTATGTACATATCCACATTTATTTAATATTTTTCTTATGCAGTTTTTATTGAAAATGTAATATTTGATATCTCAAAAACCTGATGTGGTAGACAAAAACTGATGCCAGATTTGGAATCAGCACCCCAAAATTACCTTAAAACCATTGGAATACCTTATGCCAGAACAAGTGTGTTGACCAGTGTTGCCGAAGCCTAAAATGTCTCTGTGTGTGTGACTCCCACGTGTCACGCCACTCCACATGCGGCCCCTCCTCTCGTAAAATATTCATGTTGTCGCTGCATTTCATTACGAACGCTAAGGAAGTTGGAGCGACTTTTGCTGCCTTTGTAACACCAACATTAACGCAAAGCCACATCGCACTGCATTTCCTGGTTTAATTTCCTTCTTCGCCACATCTAACAAAAGGGAGGTCAACTTTATGCTTCCAAATTATGCTGAAATATACATTTACGCTGAAATCAACATTTGTCAGCTGCTTTGCGGCCATTGGCTCCAATTACAATTGTTTGCAACTCCGGCGAGCTAAAAAACATAACTCTACGTCTTAGAGCACTGCACCTAAAGTGTTTAAGTGCCCTTGGAATAACAGCGGCATTGCTGTGTTATTACATTGTTGCGTGCAACAATCACTGCCATCACTGCAGTCTAATGCTGTGATGTGTTTTATGGCTTCCTTTTGTGCTACATTTACTCACATTAATACAGTGCTACAGTTACATGCAGTACGCTGTTTTATGACTTTTTTCCCCCAAAATATTCGCCCCCCATTACATTCATGCTAATTTAAAATCGTTAACTACTGACGAAGAAACGTGGAGCGGAAATGAAAATTTGTTTAGGCACAAGTGACATTTTTTCACGTCCATTACCCTCTCTTTATCGAGAGCTAACCAGACAATGAATTCCACGCCACATCCCACGGAATTTTCTGCCTTCATGTATTTCTTCGCCACGTCCAACTAGAGCAAGGTCAACTTTAGGTTTGCAAATTGTGCTAAAATAAACATGTATCTGCTGTTTTGCCACCATTGCCTCGTATTCAAATTGTTACTCCGGCGAGCTACAGCACACCATGAGTAAGTCTCAGAGCACTGCGCCTAAAGTAATTGATTTGTTTAGGCGCAAATTGCCCCTTCTTTATGGAGACATTTCTCGGTGATTTTGCAGATATTGTATCGATTTCCTATTTATTTCAAACACAGCGACTGAAAGCAGAAGAGAAAGTATCAGAGCAGTGAATTTAAACAAATTGAAGGTCAGTTATATATAGTGCGAGAGTGACATGAAGTGAGGTGTTTAATGCCATTAATATAGTGCTACAGTGAAATGCAGTTAAGTGTTTGATGACGTACTTTTGTGCAAGATCCACTGCCATTAAATTAACACAACTGCTCAATTTTTTAGTAAATATTACATTTTCCGTCCTAGGAAGGGCAAAGATGCTAGTCTCTATCTATAAAAGGCTATGGATGTCTGCAACATCTCAGCTGGCTTACAAAAACCGGTTCCTGGATCGTCTGCTTCAGCTCTGAAGACGAGACACGATGGAGAGGAAATATCGACAATGCATTTGTTTTAATAGTGACATTTTAGCAGCCTTGCAGTTGATCATCAAGATTATCCGGCTGCTTCCAACATTATCCGGCGGTCCCTGGGATCGAAACCGGCAAAGCCGCTCCGGCGATCAGCACCGCGTGCGTGGAATATTATATACGGTACATTATACACTACATATAATTTAAACAACAAAAAATACTGCACGTATACACATCACCCCATGCAGTCTTCAAAACCTGGAGTGGTAAGTACGGTTCAGTAAATACGGTAATTTTTTTAAGTAGGATATTTATTTTTGGATTTAAAGCTTTTGTGACTGCAGGGATTCATGTTCTTGGTTCTTTCGGTAAAGTCACGTAGAAGGGAAACAATAAAATTAAACACCTGATGATGATTGCTTGTGTTGCAGTCGAAACGTCGTGAGAATTTTGTTTTATATTTTTATTATTTTATTGTTTCCTTTCTACGTGACTTTACCGAAAGAACCAAGAATAGGATATTTATGTTTGTCTATTTTATGTTTATTTAGACCAATTTAAGATAGTAAACAAATGTAAAACACTCCAAAAAGTATATGCACAACACCTACAACATGTTATACAAGAATGTGCAAAAAACAAGCTATTTTAAATAATGATTAGTGATTATCAGGCGTCCCGAATGATCGATTATCCACATTCCAGTACTCGCATGGCTCTTTCTCAAAGGCGTGACTCATATACACTCCTTCGTGACAGCCAGCAGTATATTCAGTCACGGCCACAGTTAATGTTAAGCACACACACATATATATAAACATCTGTTCACAGGTGAGCGTTCTCACTGGGATTTTGTGAAAGTTTCTGTAATCCCTTGCTCCTGGTGTGTTGGGGGGGGGGGGGTAGAAAATGTCCTAGTATTTGTAACTTTAGATCACTGGGGCCCTAAAATTAGCACTCGCCAATTACAAATAAATCTTTCGCGCGGCACAGGCGGCCGACTTTGTTGTCGTTATGCAAGAGGGTTCCACCTCATTTATGTCCAGTTCAAACTTTGCCTTCCATTCAGAAGAGGGCTTGGGAGAGACAGTGCCCTATTATCCAATAGGGCCGACGAAAACTATTTTTGGCCATGGAGGCCGTCCATAAATGACGTCACGCACCTGGAGGGGGGGGGGGTCAGACATTTGTGACGATGTGTGACGAGGGGAGGGGGGTTTGAGAAATGTACTACAATGACAATAGTTTAAAGCGATTTGAAGCATGTTTTATTTTTTTTTGGGGGGGGGGGGGCAGAGCTTTGTGACGTCATATTTGAGGGGGGGGGTTTGACTTTTTGTGACGCAGTGTGACGATGGGGGGGGCGGGCAAAAATCGTCCAAAATCGCGTGACGTCATTTATGGACGGCCCCCAAGATATCAAGATATCGTATTGAAAATATTTACATATTCAAATTAACTCTACTTATCTGCGGCACACAGTAGCGCGCTCCCATCGAAGGAAGGCACGGGGGAAATAATGAACGTATCAGCAGTAACGACATCTGTCCGGTGTCTGGACGAAGCACTGCGTCAAACAGGCGGAGTGACAGCGGCTGTAATAGTAGTGACATGGGGACAGCAGCAGTGCCAACTTGTAGAGAGTTATCACTGAAGGCCTACAATAACCTTCATCTGGCCCTAGAGAGAGAGAGGGTATGCGATGACCGAGTGGAGATGGAGGCCGTGCAGAGATGGTGATGGTTAAAATGGGACCTTTTTTTACCAGTATCAAAGTATGAAAAAATAAGAATTGGTCGTTAACCTTTCTTGCAATAAAACAGGTGTTAAGATGTTCAAACATCAAATAGAAACCTTTTGCACTGGTGAGGCTAGGCCGAAAAAGGCCGTCTCTCTGGTGTAGGCCAATCAGTTTCAAAGACAATGCCATCTATTACACTGGTCAACAAAAATAAATTCTGGCCTGGACTTTTGCAGCTGTTTTAGACTAATATCAGGGTGCTGATTCCAAATCTGATCTCAGATTTGCTCTATCACATCTCGTTTTTATGCTATCGGCATACCCCATTTTCATTGATTTTACCCGAACTTAACTCTGTCACTTATGATTGCAAGTTGTTGCGAGTCAGTGACTGCTTTAGTGTTAAAATATGGTGCTGTATTTTTAGGATAGTGTGTTTATAATATAATTTTATGTAGATATCCACATTTATTTAATATTTTTCTTCTGCAGTTTTTATTGAAAATGCAATATTTGATATCTCTGATGTGATAGACAAAAACTGATGCCAGATTTGGAATCAGCACCCCAAAATTACATTAAAACTGTTGGAATACCTTATGCCAGAAAAAGTGTGTTGACCAGTGTTATCAGAGCACGTTTGATTGCATGTTCACCACAAGTACTGTGTTGCATTGCCAGGTTGGAGGTCTTTGCATTGACAGGCTCTATGTCTTACTAGCAGTCACAGATGCTCCTTTCCCTCGATTTGGCGGTGAGCTCTCGTTTTTTCACGATACAATAGCCACCCCCACAGCGTCAGGGCGTCCTCCGATCTTACATTTACATGCAAATACCATCTCTAGCCCCGCCCACTTACCCTTGGGCTGCACCCATCTCAGGCCTATATAACACCCTGCTTCAGCAGCTCTCTCGCTGTATTTTTTCACCTGAAGACGATTGCTCGTGTTGCGATCGAAACGTCGTGGTTTTTGATTATTTTTCTATCTACGTGGCTTTACCGAAAGACCCAAAGAATATGCCACATACACACGCATACACCAAGAAACATGATGTTTGTGACTTTAATAATGCACTTGCAACAACAAAGCATTTATAACATCTACATCATTACATTCATATAAATAATACTGCATGTGTATATACAATATTTCATTTATGTTACGTACACACGCAAGGACTGGCGTTTCTTCACCAAGGTGTTAACTTGGCATCACCCTGGATCGCTCAACCGAACGTAATGGTCAATGACGCCTAAGTGGTGTCACGGGGTGTAACGTTGACGTGCCACCACTATACCCGCTCGGTTGAACGTTGGAGCGATGCGATGAGTGAACCGGCATCCTAACAGGGTAGGGATGGCACAAAGCCAATATCCCAGAATCAGAATATTTAGCTCTTTTTCACAGACGCCCAGCAGGCTCTGAAGCCACACCATGTGATTATTGGTGCACCACGTGACCATCACGTCCAAGTTCCACCATGGCACGCAGCGTTCACCGAACACACAACCCGATGAACCCGGCCACGTGGAAAATCTCCAGGGAAGTGGTGGCACAGTAAGTTTGCACAATGCGCTGCGAACCCGGCTTCCCCGAGTTCGATTCCTGGTCACGGCAAACATCCGTGCCGAATTAAATCTGAATCTCCACACCCCCCCCACCCGCCCCACTTCACCATCATGCACTGGCCAGCATGGTGAAGTATGGTCAAACAACCATAATGGACAGAGCCGGAGGGAGATCTTCATCCAACACGAGGCTAGTAGTCATGTCAAACAACTGCAAAGGCTGACGAGACTTGAGGAGGTCTTCATACAGCAGTGGATTAAATGTACAAAGTGCAATATTGTCGGCATAAATGCACGGACACAAATTTCGTTAGAACTGCTGTTTGTGTTTAGTTTGTTGTCCTTCCCCCACACTTCAGATTAGCACGGTTGGCTACGTACGGTGCGAAAGAAGTTCTACATACGTGCTGACGTACAGCGCAGGTCAATGTTAATCGACTTTTCCCTTCGAATCACAAAATGTTGTACAGATAGTGCAGCAATGGCACAACCATTCCACAGTATGCGGAGCGTGTTGGGGAAGATCAACATCACCTTTAATTACTTCCCGCATCGTTCCCATGCAGGGGGGGGGGGGGGAGGGTAGTTCTCTCCCCGGCTGTGCCAATGTTGCGGCGCAAAATCAATTATCACTTCGGGATTATTTCCCGTTCGGGATTAAAACGTCGTTCGGTTAACTTTTTGGAAAACGTTAAAACTTTAAATCCTAAAAACCACGTGTACATTTTTTTCTCACACGGAGAATGACAAAATGGCTTCGCACTCGCCGCGTGCGGCGTGCATGCCGCACACAACGCAGTCCTTCCACGTGTTAGGAATTCAGTGCAGTGCGGTTTCGCCGGCAGCATTGGATGCATTGAACATACATACAGCACATATACTCCTGATCGGTCAGTCATTCACGACATTAACAAGTATCCATATCGTGGTATAAAGGTTAGTAAAGCGGATTCGTGGTATTCTATTGTATTGGTGGCCGTCGGCTCAACCTCCAGGTTAGGAAGGAACAATGCGACGCCCTCACGTTTACACCCTTATTTTCCCTGCTACTGTGCATGAAAGAGCGCCGGAATTGGCCTAAGGTGGCAAAACTTTGGTGATACCGAAGTATTTATAGGGCTGACGTGAGTGAATTACTTCATAACCCGACTCGTTTCAAATGGTTATCGCATAATTCACTTTGATATTGGCCATGTAAAGAAATTGGAAATGCGAAAAGTTATGCCAACTCAAGTGGTCTTGACACGTGAAATATCTGTCAAGGATCATATACGATATGGCTGGGTTAACCAGGTAACACTGAGTGCAATATTATATTATATTTTCACAGATTCATCTATTTCTTTGGATTTTACCCAAAAATTTTTTTCGTCTATTTTAGATTTCGCTGGTGGCATCATATCGAGCCAGAGTATCCATTCGATGCTCTGACAGTGCAGTGCAACCCTTTGTTCGAGAACGCCCCGCAGAAGTTAATGTCACAGAGCTACCTCTGAGATCATGTGATCCGAGTGTTCCGCAGAGTGGTGGGCAGCACTTTGCCCACATCCACTGAGTAAGGGTAATAATGTTTGTGGTGTGGAGGTCAAACCATTTTCACTTTCAGAGATGGAATTTAGCTGAAGTGCAAAACCAAATTTGATGCAATGGCTTTTTGTGCCAGTAGTTGGTGACCAGCCCGAAATCATTCACTCACGACACTTGCAAATCAGGCTTCATCATAAGTGGCTACCTGGATTTTAATCCAGGATTATCAACTGTTTGCTCAGACTCCCGAGCCACCACATTCCCACAGCTACTTAGTGACTTAAGGTTAGTAATTACCAAAGCAAGCCCGAACAGTCGGCCTTACAACACCCTCTGATCTCATCATTTGTAAAATGAGGCTGCCAATTTAGTAAAAACCCAACGTAATTTCTCAGGTCTGCCGAGCAAAAGAAACCGTTTAACGCGGTACTGCGAGGTCAAATTGCATGAATTTACATTTGATTGCATAAGACAGTACAGTGCTTCCCACAAAACCACCGTTGGTGTGTTTGGTGGCAGCGTGGAACTAAACCAGCATTTTAATCGACAGCCTCGCACCTACGCCGAGATAGAGCCCCACAGTCTGCGATGTGGTCACCAAAGCCCCCCCCCCCCCCCCCCTTAGTCCATTATCCCTTAAACCGCTCCGCGGGATGCAGTCCCTGCCCGGGCCTGCGCGCTGCTCCCCGTGCCGCCGCCTTCGTCCAAGTCTACGTTTGAGATCCGCATGGAATCGTCGTCGTGCTCGGAGCCGCCGCCGCCGCCGCCCGCGCACCAAACATCCATGGGCTCCGCCGCCCCCGGGGCCACCCCGCACGACTCCCCCCGGGGGCTCCGCTCGGCCGTCACGGCGCCGGCGCCGGCCACCGCCATCTCCACTTCGCCGTTCTCGGCGCTCCGTCCGCCGGCGCCGCCGGGGGACTCCGCGGCGGCCGCGCGCCGCTCGAGCGCGTCGAGGGCGCGCTGCACGCGCCGGACGCCCTCCTTGCGAGCGCGCCGCACCACCTCGTCGCCCGCCGGCTCCACCGAGTCGAGCCGCAGCAGCTCTTTGGTGAGCAGCTCCTCGAGCAGCAGGAAGCTGCGCTCGCCGCGCCGGCCCGAGAAGGCCTCCACGTCGCGCTCCAGACGCTGCGCCGCCGCCTCCACCTCCGCGATCCGCCGCAGGCCCGGGTGCTCCGGCATCTTCGGCTCGGGATGCTTCTGCTCAGCAGCTATCTCCTCGGGCGCGTTCTGTTGAGGCATCTTCTGCTGAGGCGTCTTCTGCGCGGGCATCTGCTGAGGCATCTGCTGAGGCATCTTATTCTCAGGCATCTTCTGTTGAGACATCTTCTGCTCAGGCATCTGCTGAGGAATCTTATTCTCAGGCATCTTCTGTTGAGGCATTTTCTGCTCGGGCATTTGTTGAGGCATCTTCTGCTGAGGAATCTTCTGCTCAGCCATCATCTGCTGAGGTATCTTCTGCTCAGGCATTTTCTGCTGAGGCATCTTCTGTTGAGGCATCTGCTGTTGAGGCATCTTCTGTTGAGGCATCTGCTGTTGAGGCATCTGCTGTTGAGGCATCTGCTGCTGAGGCATCTGCTGCTGAGGCATCTGCTGCTCGGGCATCCTCTGTGGAGGCATCTTCTGTTGAGGCATCTTCTGCTCAGGCATCTGCTGTTGAGGCATCTGCTGTTGAGGCATCTGCTGTTGAGGCATCTGCTGAGACATTTGCTGTTGAGGCATCTGCTGCTCGGGCATCTGCTGCTCGGGCATCCTCTGTGGAGGCATCTGCTCAGGCACCGCATATTCAGGCACCCTCTGCTTGGATGCCACTTGCTCGGGTGGCGGCAGGCCAGCCTGCGGGACAGACGCCACGCCGGGCGCCGGCGTGGCCACTTTGGCGGCAGCGGCAGCCTTCACCGCCGAGGCCACCTTGGCTGCCGAGGCGCCAGCGGGAGTCGCTTTGCCCACGGGCGCCGCCTTGGCTGCTGGCGTCACGCTCGGAGGCGCCTGTGCGCCGGCAGCAGGCCCAGGGACCAGCCAGGCCTGCGGTAGGGGCGGCGGCGGCGGCGGCGGCGGTGGTGGCGGCGTCGCTTCACGCCGCTCGGTGCCCACGTCCGAGCTGGGCGCCGGCTGTTGCTGCTGCTTCGGTTGCTGCGGCGGTGGCAGCGGAATCGGCGCCACCGCTTCCACCCTCATCCCCACCTCCGGCTGTGCCACGCTGTCGGCCGGGCACCCGTCCACCGCTCCCTCGGCGTCCTCCGCGGGCTGGGCCCGGACTTTGGAGTGGAGAGCAGTGTGGGCCTGGGGCTGCCTGGCCAGGTGCATGGCGTCCACCGCCCACCGCGCTCCTCTCTCCCTGCTGTCGTCGCCATCCCCGCCGCCGTCCCCGCCGCCGTCCCCGCCGTCAGTCTTCTCCGCCGCCTGCGCCCGCCCCGCCGGCACGTCCACGCCCTCGGTCTCCATGCTCTCGCCCGCCACGTTCCTCCCGCCGGCGGCCCCCACGGGCGAGCGAGCGACCGGAGGCGACGCCTGGCGCCGTCCCAGCACGCGGATCGGCACCACCCTCTCTGCCGCCCTCCCGCAGCTCCCCGCGGCCCCCGCGCCCGCGTCGGTCTCCATGGGGCTGCTGCCGCGGGCCCCCTTGGAGGCCGCCGCCGGCCCCCTGCCGCCAACCTCGTCCGGCCACGCGTCGCTCCGTCGCAGCGACGGGAAGGAAGAGGGGTGCAGCTTGTGCTGCGCACCGTCGTGCAGCCTCGAGTGCAGCGGCCCGTGGGCGGGCGAGCGCGACCTCGTGACCATGGGGTCCTCGTCGGGGGTCATGGGTCGGCCCGGGGGCTGGGGGCTGCTCGCGGCGCGCCGCGCCCATAGCGAGGGGCCGAAGTCGGGCGGGAACGGGGAGTGGCGGCCGCACTCCCGGGGCTGCTGCTGCTGCGAGGGAGGGAGGGAGAAGAAAAGGGTCGTTTCATTGGTGGTCCCGCTCGGGGCGTCCACGGTGGCGAGATGTTAACTCCCTCGCCTGGTATACAGGAGGTCGTGGATTCGATCCTGACCCCGACGCCTGTTGTATACTCTTTGGTTTTTTTCGGTAAAGTCACGTAGGTGTGAAAAATAAAAATGTGTTTTGTATATTTGGAGTTTGCGCGTCTCTCGCTCTCCCCGCCTGTGGTCGCGTGGATTTGTCTCTGGGTCCTCCAGTTTTTAACCCTCCAGAATTTAGAATCGACGTGCTTTTGGAGTAGGCGAGGCATTTAACACCTTGCCACCGCGAGGCCCACATACACGTATGTACATGCCAAATGTCGCCGTGCGGTAGCTCATCCCCTCCACGTGACCGGGTCGTTGGGGTGGGGGGGAAACACACCTGCTGCTCAGGATCAGACGCATCCTCGTCGTGCTCGGAGACGCCGGAGCCGGGCCGCCGCGCCTCGCTCGGCCCCGCGCCGGCGCCAGCGCCGCCCCTCCCTGCCGCGCTCCTCCTCTGCTGCGCCCACTCGGGCAGGGAGTCGAACCCAAATTCCGGGCCCCAGAAGGTCGTGTCGTCAAAACCGCTCGGCCAGTCGGCGAACATCTGGGGCGAGCGACAGCAAAGATTGGGGTTAGCGGCACGTTCGTCTCAAAGCACACCTCCCCTTTGACCTCCGATGAAGAAGCTCAACATATACACACACACGAACCTCTTTCGTACCGGGCGGAGCCAACCGTGCTAATTGGAGGTGTCTATACACAGCATGCACGTACAAGCACAACCTTTCACCATTAAGCCTTGAAGACATACGAGGGTAAGCGCCCATAGTAAGCACCTAATAATGCAGACCTAACTTAGGAGAAGGTGGCATTTTTTTAGGATCATGTCCAGCTCGATACAAAGAGCAGGAACCTGTATTTAGGCCGTGGGGAGAGTTGCATCGTGGGCGCTACCCCCTACCACGATCTCACGCCCGGTGTCGGCAATTGGTATCCAAGCCCGAGTCGGATCTCTCATGGGTGAAAAACACGTCCCCTCGTGTGCCTTCATAATCCCTACGGCCGAGGTGATGTGGAGTCACGTGATGGACGCTCGTTCAGGCAGAGCCCTGGGCACAAATGACCCCCCCCCCCCATCAGGGTGGAGTCTCTCACCACCATGGCCTGAGGGCCAGCAACAGGCACACCACGTGGGGAGACGACTCCACAACAGCGGTCGTGTTAACCCTCTCCCGTTCCGAGACGTTGCAGGGTGGGTGGTGTCCTGTTCACCGCTTCATCTCGGAACGCGCAAGTGGTAGGATCTCACGAGAGTAGCGCCACTGTTTTTAAAGACGTCGTACTGTACTCACCACAGAGAACTGCAGTGACACGACCGCACTCTATGATAGCTGCCACCAAACTGTGCCACGTGCCCTCCCACATGGCCCTTTTACTTCAGATTACGTTCGTAATCGATTCCGTTCCGATGATATAAGCGTATGGAATCGGAACGGAAGCCGGAAGAAAAACTGATGACGTACGTCATTGGAACGGGAAAGGGGGTTAAAGAGACTGAGACTCGCCACAGCACAGTACAAGCTGGATATAAGCACACCTCCCCTTTGGTCGATGTTTCCCTTTGCCTTCCTCCGCCTGTGCAATGTGAGCATGTGTCGCTTATATTAGGACTGTCATCTATCCAGCTTCCATTGGTTATCCCATTTCCATCAGTGTTCATCAGGGCCCAGTCTCCACGTGCTCAAAAGAACACGATGGCTACTCTTTCGGCAATTGTACGGCATGCGCAAACCTTGTCGCCTATTTGGCCGTACGCTTCACCACCCGCACCGACTCAAACCGCGTCTAATTTTAACCGGTGCCAAGTTGTGCTCGGGAAATGGCCAGAAATGCCCAGGCTGCTTCCACTGCCAACTCTCGGATGCTCTGCGCCAAATTTAGATCGCCACGCGCTCCCTCGCTCCGCATTCCTCCACATACACACGCACACGCGCACTGTTCATCAGCAGCACACTCCACGGGACGCCACACACTGTCCTACACAAAGACAAAGATACCCCGTATAGCCCAAACGGACTGTTGCAGCAAGTGCCGTCAGCTAGCACCATTGAAGGCCGGCACGGCACACGAAGGGGTGGGTGGCCAACACCTCGCCCAGCCTCCTTTGTCTCCCCAGAGGCGATGTTTACACACTGCACCAGGTACTCATTGAGGCCGAGTCAATCTGGTGAAGGCCCAGGACAGGTTCACCAATGTTGACCGTGAGCGGGAATCAAACACGGGTCTCCAGGTTCGTCGCACAGCACTACCGCTACCCACTGTGGTCCACACACACGCAAGCTACAATCCTATCCAAGCACACACAGACCATGGGACACACAACTCAATCCTACTTGGCAGTCACACGCACACACACACACCCTGTGTAACGCCAATGAGTCATTCACACACACAGACCACGGTAGGATGTCACACACACACACGTACTCATCCCATGAGACACGCACGGTCGTACACACACCCTCTCTGGAAACCGCGCGGTCAACTCTTCCAGACAACGGCCAATTGAACAGAGCCCCCCTCTGCCCAGGCTGCTACAACAGCTGCTGCAGCCATGACCTTCTAAGGCAGCGCAACAGACAAGGTGGGGGACAGCATCACGGTATGCCCAGCGGAGGAGTGGCGGCGCAGTGGTTAGCGCACCGCAACTACGAATCCGGGCGGTAACAACCCGAGTTTGATTCCCGGCCATGGCTAACATCGGCGGTGAGGGATATCTGAACCGGTCAAGGGCCCCCACCCCCTCTCTTCACTAGCCGCAGTAGGGAGATGTTAACTACCTTGCCTGGTATATAGGGAGGTCGTGGGTTCGACCCTGACGCCTGCTGTATATTTGGAGTTTGCGTGTCTCTCTCTCTCTCCCCGTGGTCGCGTGGATTTTTCTCCGCGTCCTGTTTTTCCCTCCACATTTATAATCAACATCACGCGTTTATTGTATTTGACTGCAATACATTTCCACGTGATAAAACACATCGTTTAGGATCCATTTGTGGCCTGGTCGCTTATGAAAAAGAGCTACATAGCTCATGTGGCCTTACCGGGTAAAATAAAAACAGCTTCGTTTTAGTTTCGTTTGACTAGCCAGTGTCGTGAAGTATGGTCACCCCCCCCCCCCCGCCACCTCTGTCAATTACCCACAGCGTGCGAGGCCTTCATGCAGCAGCGGATTGACAAAGGGCTGTCGATAACCAATAACTATTCTCCAACGGAGTTGAAATACAGGACGAGTCGCTGTGGCCAAGGTTACACTATTGCCCCCCCGCACACACACGGCAGTTGAGACACAGAGGGTCTCTATGTGCGCGCTGGCCACCGCGTACTTGGCGGAAGGAAAAATCTCGCACATTCCCACCGCACGAGACACTCGGATGCGAATCCTCGGCATCGGGCACACGGCCGCGAAAAAATGTGTGCACTTAAAGGTCTTGCTCGGTCAGTGTGATGGAGAAAGCCCTCCCCATGCCCACGCCAGTCGCATGCTCCCCCTTTGGTAGTTGCGGTCGGCAACTACCAAACGCGGCTCTTCTGACGCCTGCTGTATATTTGGAGTTTGCGTGTCTCTCTTCCTCTTCGTGGTTGCGTGGATTTTTCTCCGGGTCCTCCGGTTTTTCCCCTCCACATTTAGAATCAACGTGCGTTTCGAGTATTTGGCCGCTATACATTTCCACTTGATGGTAAGCCACTTCGTTGAACTATCGGTTGTGGCCAGGTCACTTCTGAAAAAGAGTAACAGTATGGAGCTCAGTGGGCCTTAGCTGGTAAAATATAAAAATAGTTGAATAATGTTTAGGTTAAGGGCCGCTTCGTGACGCTATTTATTAAGGACTCACCGTCTCATTGCTGGCTCTTGAAATATTGAGGGCTTTTTTTCCCACCGAATTCAAAACAAATCATGGCTCGATCTTGTTATTTTGGTTTACCGACCCATTTGGTCAACTGCGTCTCGAGGAGAGGCCTCGTCAAACCTGGCTACCACCAACTGCACCCACCCCCCATCCTCTCGCTAGCCACACACGCGACACGCGCCTGGCGTGTTAGTGGACGACGCATTTCGACGGACCACGCGTTTATTGTGGCCTTCACGGGAAGCGCGCAAGGCAGCACGGAAGAGGCCGTTTGATCGAGGATATCGGCCCATCTCGCCACAACGGGGACGGGTGGGCACATTTCCAAAGTGCGTGGAACAGGGACCTCCCCCCTCCCGCTGCTGGTTTTGCTATTTTCGTGGTGTGTGCAGCGTGCCGATTGGGCCCGTGGGGTGGGCCCATTTAGGGTCAAATGTCCCAACACCCCCCCCCCCATGCCTCGACCGCCACCCAGCAACCACCCCCACCAACCACACGAGTCGAGTGATCTCATGCGGATTAAGAGGACACTATTCGTGCGGCGTTACCATATTCTCTGGATTAGAAGAGTCACTCTTTCCAAAATTGTAAAGCAAAGTTTTGGGGGTCTCGGGTGCGTCTTATAATCCGGTAGTTGTGTATGTGACCCGTGGCACCTGCTGGGTCCGTCCCATGACCTCCTGTCAGCGGGCGTTCGACACTTCACGTGGCCTCAAAGTGCACCTAGCCTGGCACAAGCGCCGTGGTGACGTCACCGCCACTTAGTGGCGAATGGCGGTCGTCGTCATAAATTGTATGTACGGTATGTATGTTGAACTTCTTTAGCTCCGTACGCAGCCCACAGCGCTAATCGGAAGCGCACTGTTGGAAGTGCTTCCTACTTTAAGGACAGTCTTATCGGTCCGGAGAATACGACATTTTATTCCATTCTTAGATAAATCAAGCATGTGATGGCAGCAGCCTGCCTATTTATGTTTCATACAGCTGGTCGTGAGTGAGTGAATGACTCATGTAGATGCTCGCGTGTTCCAGAAGGGTCTGGAAAAATGTGAACGCTCGTACAAATATAGTCGAGTCGATGTTTACGCAGTAACCAGAACAATCGGTGAATCGAAAATTTCGATTTGGGCCCCCCTCAAACTTTTGGGGACGCAAATAATGTTTTTAACCTTTTCTTTTTGCTACCAAAAGCCCGGTGGGTCGGAAAACCAAAATATATATTTTTAGTAATTCGGTAACAAACCAAAAAAACCCAACTCAACATTTCAAGGGGCATGCAATGTACTGTGTTGGTGACTGTCACGAAGCAGCGGCCCTTAAAGAGTCACCGCATGGAGGCCGCTGCACGAAGCCGAATCGGGTCTTCATTCGGGAGGTCGTGAAGGGTGCTGGATCCAGATACAACATCAGATTTTCAGCTCCGAAAATAAAGATTGGGGGGGATTTTGAGGCCCCTCAAAATTTAAGGGTATTGGGGGGACATGTGTGTACCCTTTTCACTTATGAAGCGAGACCTACATGGCGGAGTTTGTCGGTGGAGATTTTAGAAGCTTCGAACGGTGCCGAATCCAAACGTGACATAACGCCGCGTCTCCTGACGTTTGGACCGAGAGCATGGCGTTCACGAAGCACCCGAGTGTGCAGCAGGGGTATACACAGCGGCAGTGGAGCGCTGCGAACCCGGGGACCCGAGGTCCTAGGCCTCCCCTAGGTCGACTCAGCCTCAAATGAGTACCTTGTGCCGAGTGTTAACTGGGGAGACAAAGGCGGCCGGGCGTGGTGCCTGCTGGCCACCCCCTCGTGTGCCCGTGCCGGCCTTCAAAGGTGCCGCTCGCTTGCAGCCCTTGCCCCAACAGTCTATGAAGGCTATACGGGGGGGCATATTTGTCTTTGTACACGAGGGTAACTTGTGGAGTGATTTTGGACTGGCCCACACCGGTTCGCGTCTCCTTGATTGATACGACCGAGGGAGAGGGGGGGGGCAGAGCACGACAGCTGCGGCCACACGCAAATGAGACCGGCTCACCTCCCTGGGGTAATGGACACAACATTCATAAACACTATCCCCCCCCCCGCCCGTTACATCCACGACTTACTTACGACATCCCAACACCACGTCTCTTTCTCACTCTCCTATAGGGGTCGTGTGCCCATACTTCACCACGCGGATTGTAGTGGGGCCTGTGGGTTGGAAGCGCAACTCGTACCCATTTCCGGCTCCTGATATCACTCTCCAACTGATGTTGGCCCGTGGATGGGGAATTCGAACGGGTCAGGGCGACTTAGGAGCACAGTGCGCTAACCACTGCGCCACCGCTCCTCGCGCGAAGCAGTGTTCACACTAAACGAATTGTATTTTACCAGGTAAGCCCCCACAAATAATATCCGAACGAAGTGGCGTATCGTCACGTGGACATTTATAGCAAGAGCCAAATAACTCCGAGCATTTGGTGATATCGATTCGACTAAATGTGGATTGGGGGGCGGTGGAGAACCCAGAGACAAATCCAGGCGACCTTGGGGCAAGCGAGAGATGAAGACGACGCAGCAGCAGCGGCAGGCGTCAGGGTCGGGGTCGAACCCACGACCCCCTGGCATAGCAGGCGAGGGGGTTTACAAGTCGCGGCACCCCCCACGAACCGCAGGACACGACCCGAGACCCCGAGACCCCAGCTTTGGGGCAGACGACAGGGCCCAGGCTGGCCGCTGAAACCCCTTCACGAGAGACCCCTTCACGTGTCGCTACCCCGACACACACAGCTGTCAACCCCTTGTCAACACACCTGTTCAACCCCTTGCCAGTGCCCTACCTTGTTACAGCCCAATTCATCAGCCCTTAGTGGTCATCCCCCCGTGACCTTATACATCTCAACGTTCATCCTATAAAGTCCCATCACAGGGCAGAAGCACAAACAGGAACACAAACACATTTGTGTTTGCCCGGATTGAAACGTCTGCACGGCGCAGGCTGGACCTGAACAACTCAAATGTCCCCCGGACGACAAGAACACGAGGATGGTGGGTCGACAGCCTCCTCCATCATCACAGCCACACACCCGTCAACCAGAGACGGAGGTGTAAACAACAGCGAGTGAATGAACTCGTCAGGGAGTGGGAGGCAGGCAGGGAGAAGGGCAGGGTGTGGGGCAGGAGGGAGTGAGGCAGGAGGAAGTGGGGCAGGAGGGAGTGGGGCAGGGAGGGAGTGGGGCAGGAGGGAGTGGGGCAGGGAGTGAGGGAGTGGGCAGGAGGGAGTGGGCAGGGGGGGGTGGGCAGGAGGGAGTGGGGCAGGAGGGAGTGGGGCAGGGAGTGAGGGAGTGGGGCAGGAGGGAGTGGGGCAGGGAGTGAGGGAGTGGGGCAGGAGGGAGTGGGGCAGGGAGTGGGGAGTGGGGCAGGAGGGAGTGGGGCAGGGAGTGGGGCAGGGAGTGAGGGAGTGGGGCAGGAGGGAGTGGGGCAGGAGGGAGTGGGGCAGGGAGTGGGGCAGGAGGGAGTGGGGCAGGGAGTGGGACAGGGAGTGAGGGAGTGGGGCAGGAGGGAGTGGGGCAGGGAGTGGGGGAGTGGGGCAGGAGGGAGTGGGGCAGGAGGGAGTGGGGCAGGGAGTGGGGGAGTGGGGCAGGGAGTGGGGCAGGGAGTGAGGGAGTGGGGCAGGGAGTGGGGCAGGCACCTGCTGCTGGGCGTCGTCCCACAAGGGGTGATCCCTCAGCGAGCGAAACCCCTTGAACGGGGGCAGTCGCGCCATCGGCTGTGCGCGCTCCTACTCCTCCTCCACGCAGCGGAGAAATCGCGGCCGCGGTGCGGCAACACCACACCACGTTGGGGATGACCACCGCTGCTGATGAAGTTGCTGCTGATGATGGTGCTGATGATGAAGTTTCTGCTGATGAGGGTGCTTATGAAGTTGCTGCTGTTGCCGCTACTGATGATGAAGTTGCCGCTGCTGATGTTGCTGCTGCTGATGATGTTGTTGTTGCTGATGATGATGTTGCTGCTGCTGATGATGAAGTTGCTGATGATGCTGCTGCTGCTGCTCCTACTGCTGCTTTCTTCTCTTCTCCGCTCCACTCCGCTGCCCGCTACTGCCCGCGGGCCGCCCCCGGCTCGGCCTCTTTAAAGGGCAGCGCCGGCCCGTGACGTCACAAGGCGGAGAATCCCCCAGAAGGGGCCAGAAACCCACACAGCCCCGCCCCCCTCCTCGGCCCCCTCCCCCCCACGGCCCCGCCCCCTCGCCTATTGCCCACCCTCCCACCACGCTCCGCCCCTTTGCTAACCACGCCCCCATTACGTCACTCCCCCCCCACCGAATCCCCCCGCCCCATCTCGCGCCGCTCACCCCAACCCGCCCCTACCGTCCCCATAGCCCTTTCTAGAGATACAAAGGTCCCCTGTATAGCCTCAACAGGCTGTAGGGGCAAGTGCTGTTAGCGAGCAGCCGGCGCTGTGGCACACGAGGAGGAGGAGGATGGGTGGCCAGCACCACCCCCGGCCGCCTTTGTCTCCCCAGACGGCGAAGTTTACGCCCTCGGGAGGCACCAGGACCGGTTCAGAGAGTCATCGAACTCGGGTCGCCGGGTTTCGTAGCGCAGCGTAGCGCTAACCACTGCGCCACCGCTCCCCACGATAGCCCCTTCACTACCACCATCGTCATCAACCGTGGCCTATGGGGCCGTCCATAAATGACGTCACGCACCTAGGGGGGGTCAGACATTTGTGACGATGGGGGGGGGGGGTTGATCAATGTGACGTCACATCAAAATGCGCAACTTTAAATAAATATAGACAACACGTTCTACTTAATAAAATAGACTTTTTAATAAATGTTTATCCTACAACATCAGAGTGCAGCGGCACATTAAATACGCACTACAATGACAATAGCTTAAAGCGATTTGAAGCATGTTTTATTTTTTTGGAGTGGGGGGGGGGACAGAGCTTTGTGACGTCATATTTGAGGTGGGGGTCTGACTTTTTGTGACGCCGTGTGACGAAGGGGGGGGGGGATCAAAAATCGTCCAAAATCGCGTGACGTCATTTATGGACGGCCCCTTTGCTCTATCCACTGCTGAGCTGAAGGCTTCCCTCGAGCCGTCACGCGACGCATCAGTCCGTCCATCCCCTGTTCACGATCCGATCTCATCGCTCCATCTCCACCGTGGGTGACCTCTCTCGTTCCGTGGGCGCTCTGTGGGCTGCTGCTGCTGCCTCTTAGTCTCACCCCTTGCGGGCAGCGCGCCTTTTCAAACAAACCCCCTGAATTGAGTCCACTCGGTTCTTTCCATGACTCTTAAACGTCTGAAGCGCGGCGAGCGCACGCGGTCCCCGCTTGTTACGACGCCGCGTGCGTTCCTGGGGAACACCGTCGTACATCGGACCGTGTTTTTTTGTTGTTCCAATAGACAGTGCCGGATTAAGCTATTGCGGGGCCTGTAGCATTTGTTGTTTTAATAAATAAATAAATATTAAAACACATACATTTTTACTTGCATAGTAAAGTATTTTTTCATTTGCTATACAGCCAGCTAATACGACAAATCGCTAACCTTAAACACCCAGTCGTTCATAAAAGTTGAAGGCGGTGTAGTACTATACTACTATAGTAATAGAGCAAGTGCAGAACCACCGAACCGGAATTGATAGCTTGAGAGCATTTAGCGCGGGGCCCTTGAAAGTGCCGGTGCCCGTGCTACTGCGGTGTACACACAGCACGCACGCCAGTGAGCGACAGTAAACACGGCTGTGTGTGTCGGCAGCGTGGAAGAACTGGGGGGCAGTGGTCACCGAAGGGTCCATCTAGAAGCCCCTGGAACGTGCTGGTGGGTTCGAGAAGGGGGGCGGTGGCCAGGGCGGAGCGAGGCCACGCTGCGAGATGACTACAGCCTGCCAGCTACCTTGGTGAGCGCCCTCGATGCGAGACGGCGAGTGTTGTGTCCACGCGAGCGAGTAGCGAGTGTGTGTGGTCGAGATCGTGTGTGTTCATAACAGAAGGTGCCTCCCCAATTATCGTCTCCGAAGTCCTGCACTACACTATACACTACACACGAATACACACTATACGGTACCCTATACACTACACTACTATACACTACACTATGCACGAATCTACCCTACACTATACACTACACCATCATACTCTGTATTATTGCACAGGGAAATTTAGTTTTCAGGTCCATACGGCGTACAGCCGTTTGAATTCTGGCAAAAAAAAAAAATATCTTAATTTGAAGCTTTCGTGACTGCAGGAATCCATAATCTTTGGTTCTATCGGTAAAAGTCACGTCGTTATTTTATTTCTAACTACGTGACGTTACCGAAAGAACCAAAGAGTAAACTAAAAATCTATTTCTCGCTTGTGATGGGACTTTTCTGGGTGAGCGTTGATATTCATAAGGGGCACGGGGCGACCAATCAGGTCTGAATCGGTTTGTAATAAGTTAGGGGTGCACTGATAAGGGGTTGACAAGCGATGGTTTTGTTAAAATAATAACAACAGTAACGGGGGGAGGAACCCCCCGAAATCCACGCAGTTTATTCCATCAACTATTTTGTTTAAGTCAGAGTGTGTGTGTTCGTCCTACCCACTCAGTCAGTCGACTCGTGGCACCTGGGTCTGCCCCGTGACCTCCTGCCAGCGGGCGTTCGACACTTCACGTAGCCTCAAGGTGCACATTGCCTGGCACAAGCGTCGTGGTGACGTCACCGCCACTTAGTGGCGAATGGCGCTTGTTGTTGTTGTCCTACCCACGGCGATGTTTGTGTACAAGGCTGCTGTGCGTTGTGATGCGGCTCTCGAAATATTTTGGTTCAAAACAAAATTGTCACTTCTCGTTCTTGTTTGAAAGGTTTTCCGACCTCTGGTTACAGTGGCAGGGTCAGAGTGGGCCCCCACCCCCACCGCACTCGCTTGCGGAGAGAGTCACGGACGGTGAAGGATCATTGCCTCTGGCTCCGTGGAGATGGCTCAGTCGTGAGGGCTCTGCCCGGCTCGAATCCCTTCTTCCGCCCCTCCCCTGGGCCCCTGCGTTGAGCCTCTGTGGCCGCGTGAATCTGAATCTTTATTTAGAGTGCAGGAGAAGGAATCCGATGAGACATTGAAGTTATTTTTCTTCTACACAGATGTCCAGTAAGGGGGGCACGGGGTCAGCGCAGTTGCAACAGCAAACACAATACAGTGCAAAATAAAAACTACAGGGGTGAGAAATAGAGAACATGGTATGCAGATCACCAAATAGTTAACAAGTTAATTATGTAAGTGCGATTCATCAAGATTGGGCAAGGCAGCCACACAAACAACAAACAACAGTCCCACACCACACCAGACAACACCACACAGCAGCAATCGTCCATCAATACAACGGCACGTGAACATTGAACTATCGATACGTGCACGGGAGTGATCAGTTACAAATCACATTTATAAATGCGACTGCTGTATCCAGCAGAACTATACTAAAACTATAAAAAACAAACTAGATTTTTGTGTTAGTTTAACACGTAGGCTTCCGTGACCAATATTATACACAATAGAGGTTGTTGATTACCCTATGAATAACCGGATTGTCTCACAAGTGACGACATCACATTTATCCCTTTTTTAAAGACCGAAACAGGAGGGTTTCTCCACTGCTCTGGCTGTCGCCTGATGATGCTGGTTGTAATCACAGGCGAAACGTCATGGTACTTGAATTGTAAATGTTGTGGGTTTACTCTCCAACACACCGCTGTGCTGAACAAGTAACGAATTGGCACGTTCTGTTTACGTGACAAACTTTACTAATTGGCTGTGTTGGGTGGTGGCGGGTTTAACGACACATTTATATGTACGCGATCTAACCCAAAGACCTCTTATGGATATTTTTTTTATTTTACCAGGTAAGGCCCACTGAGCTGTGTCGCTCCTTTTTAGAAGCGACCTGACCACAACTCAACGAAGTGGCTTATCATGTGGAAATGTATAGTAGCAGCCAAATAGTCTAAACGCGTGATGTTGATTTTAAATGTGGAGGGGAAAACCCGGAGGACTCGGAGAAAAATACACACGACCACAGAGACACACAAACTCCAAATATACAGCAGGTGTCAGGGTCGGGATTGAACCCACGACCTCCTGTATACCAGGCGAGGTAGTTAACATCTCCTAGCCACCGTGATGATGGTGACAGAGATACACGCAAACTCCAAATATACAGCAGCAGGTGTCAGGGTCGGGATTGAACCCACGACCTCCTGTATACCAGGCGAGGTAGTTAACATCTCCTAGCCACCGTGATGATGATGAAAAAGAGACACGCAAACACCAAATATACAGCAGCAGGTGTCAGGGTCGGGATTGAACCCACGACCTCCTGTATACCAGGCGAGGTAGTTAACATCTCCTAGCCATCGTGATGATGATGAGAGAGACACGCAAACTCCAAATATACAGCAGCAGGTGTCAGGGTCGGGATTGAACCCACGACCTCCTGTATACCAGGCGAGGTAGTTAACATCTCCTAGCCACCGTGATGATGATGACAGAAAGACACGCAAACTCCAAATATACAGCAGTAGGTGTCAGGGTCGGGATTTAACCCACGACCTCCTGTGTACCAAGTGAGGTAGATAACATCTCGCTACTGCGGCGCCCAATCTAATCTCCTGCTTCAGGATTTAATTTGAAGGAAGATTGAGAGGAGATCACGCTCAACCATTTGGTTGATGGCAATCGGACCCAAACACAAACAACAACAAACCACACTGTGGCTTCAAAGTAACGAGTATATAATCGGCGACGTTTCGGGCAATAGGGCTTCTTTACAGCACGTAAGTCATCGAGGTGGCGGGTGACCGGTAGTGTGAGACAATCACTCCCTCTCTAGCCTCTGTGCTGTAAAAAAGGATCATTGCCCGAAACGTCGCCTATTACATCTCTTCTTTCCCCCCCCCCCCCCCCTCTGGACGAGTTGCGTTGTTGGGTGATCCTCTCGCGATGCGTTCGCAGATGTTGGCCGTGCGGAGTCGTGGTGCAGAGACTTCCATTGCCGCCCACGGCCACCAAAACCACCAGCGACGGTTATCTGAACCGG